GTGCGTCGCGCACCATTGGGTGCAGATAGACTTCCTTGAAGGGCAGCTTGCCGAGCAGCTTCTGGCCGAAGAAGACCATGCGCGCCACCCAGAAGAAGAGAATGTCGTGGCCCGTCTCCAGCAGCGATGTGGGATAGAAGGTCTGCAGATCCTTGGTGTTGTCCGGCCAGCCGAACACCGAGAAGGGGAAGATGCCCGAGCTGAACCACGTGTCCAGCACATCCTCATCCTGCTTGAGGACAATCTTGCTGGCATCCACCTTGAATCTCTCAGCAGCCTTGGCCAACGCCTCCGCCTCGCTGCGTGCCACAATCCAATACTGTTCGTCGTCGCTCTGCGCAAAAGGGAGACAAAAAGGAAGATGAGAATAAGGGACAAGAGAGAGCATGGGGTACATGAGATTACCACTCCACCAAGAGTAGGCTGCACACAAGAGATCGTTAGAGGATTAGCTCTGTGGGAGGCGAAACCAAGGAACCGAATTAACTTACATTTCCCGATTGAATGGAGGAGTCGCTGAAGCTGACATGATAGGCGGGTATGCGATGGCCCCACCACAGCTGCCGGGACACGCACCAATCCCGAATGCCATCCATCCAGTGGTACCAGGTCTTGGTGTGGTGTTCCGGAATGATTTTCAGCTCTCCAGAGCGCACGGCCTCGGTGGCCGAGGCTGCCATGTCCGAGCAGCTGACATACCACTGGGGTTTGATGAGAGGCTCGACCACATCCTTGGACCTGCTGCAAATGGGCACCACCATGGGATTGTTGATGGTCTCGCGGTAGAGGTTGAGCGCCTTGAGCCGCTCCAGGATCTGCTTGCGGCACTGGAAGCGCTTCATGCCCGTAAACTCCCCATAGTCGCCGACGATGAAGCCATCATCGTTGAAGATCGTAATAAAGGGAAGACTGCAGCGTTTGCCCACCTCGTAATCGTTGGGATCGTGTGCGGGCGTGATCTTTACGGCGCCCGTGCCGAACTCCATTTCCACGAACTCATCGCACACGATGGGCAGGCGGCGTGTGCAGAATGGATGCACCACAAACTTGCCGTGCAGATGCTTGTAGCGCTCATCCTTGGGATGCACAGCCACAGCAGTGTCGCCCAGCATTGTCTCGATACGAGTCGTTGCCACAATGATCTCCTCGTCGCTGTCCTCCACCTTGTAGGCGAATTTCACGAGCACTCCGAACTCCACCTTCTCGTCGTAGCCGGGAATCGAGAGGAAGGTGCGGCCAGGGATCTCTACTTTGTCCACCTCAATGTCGGAGATGGCCGAGCGCAGGGTGCACGACCAGTTGACCAGCCGGGAGCTGCGGTAGATGGCACCCTCCTCATGCAGCCGCACAAACGCTTCGGTCACGGCGCGACACAGTTTCGGGTCCATCGTGAAGTTGACGCGCGTCCAGTCGTAGGAGGAGCCCAGCGACTTCAGTTGGTCATAGATGCGGCCGCCCTTCTCCCGTCGCCAGTCCCAGATGCGCTCGATGAACTTCTCCCTGCCCAGGTCGTGCCGGGAGAGCTTTTCGTCGCGCCAGAGCAGCTTCTCCACCACCACCTGGGTGGCTATGCCGGCATGATCGCAGCCAGGCACCCACAGCGTGGTGCGTCCCTTCATGCGATGATAGCGCGTGATGGCATCCTCAATGGCATTGGTCAGAGCATGGCCCAAATGCAGAGATCCCGTCACATTTGGCGGGGGAATGACCATGACAAATTGCCCATTGGGATTCGGGGAATCAATTGAATCGCGCTGGAAGGAAGGGGAAGCGGAGTGTCAGTTTTACTGCCGAATGGACTCTCCACTCTCTACTCACTCCGTATTCGGGTGTGAAGAATCCCTGCTTCTCCCACCAGCTGTACCACTGGGCCTCCACGAATCTCGGACTATATGCATCCGGCAGCGGATCACTCAGATCTTTCTTCTCCCCTGGCGCTGTCTTGGCCGTGTACAGAGCGGCCTCCTTTACCTCTTTGGTACGCTTCTGTAATGGAGTGGAACACAAAGTTAGCTTTCTCCCTGAACAATAACCGCAATTACCAGATAATTATTGTGCTCTGGGGCTCTCCCCCACATTCACTTTTCCACTTTTGTGTGCACATAACCTAGTTTCCAGTTGTACGTACTTCGGGCTTCTCCTTCTTTTCGGCTGCTGCTGGCGCTGCTGATGCCTTCTTGTCCAGCTTCGCCTGCAGCTTGGCCAGCTTTTCGGCCTTGAGGCGCTCCTTCTCCAATTGTTTGGGGGTCTTGGCAGGATTGGCGCTGCCGTCGCCGGCTTGCTGCTGCTGTTCCTCCTCAGGCATGGTTCACTCAATTGCTGGGCTGTCTCAAGCAACACGAGGATTATCTGATGCAATTCTGATTGGATTTCTGTTATTACTCACTTGGAATTGTGTGGTGGGGGAAAAAACAGATGAAAACGTGTGCAGTTTTCGAAAGGAGTCTATCGGTATCGGCTCGTTGAGATTTGGTATTAAAAAGTGCACACGTTGTATTTGTGGTATTTTTTAGCATGGTAATAAGTATATTTTGTCAACTGGCCACACTATTAATTGCTTTATTTTTGCATCACGAAATTATTTTGCAAAACTCACAAAATCCTTAATTAAAGAGACAAGTTGTGATTTGCGGTGATTGTTCTAAACGTAAACTTGTTCTCGCAGTGCTGCTGACCACAATCGCCATTAAAAGTGTGCTTTGAAACCGCGTTTTGTGTGTGCAACGAGAGGAGACGCTTCTGATAAGCAGCAGCGCCATCTTCGTCTTCTTATAAGAATGCCTGCAACACACACGGCTAGCAAAATGTTTGCTTACATTATGAAATGAGAATACAGCGCAGAAACTAAAGCTAACGATTTTGACGCCGCCCGCTGCGCCTGTAGGGCAGTGCCACCCACAACTACAACAACATCCACACAGACATGTGCAGCGCGCAGCTCTAATCTATTGTAAATAAACTGCGTCCACAAGCGTCTATTGTGAACGGGACACATACTCTCGGTCACGTACGCCGCTGCCGCCAAGTGTTCGGATTTGGTTGCGTTCCTCCTGCCTGCCTGCCTGCTGCTTCCTCGTACCCACGCAGTGTATGTGCGGGTGTGACGCTGTTTTACCTGGAATAAAGTTTTGCTCAAACCTGCAATAAAATATACCATAAGTCAGCGGAGAACCATCGAAAACATGTGAAGCGGAGCAGAGTGCACCACATCCTCAGCAACAGCATCATTAGAGGAGCAGTACGGGGTAAGTTTTGCTAAATTAACAAATCTCTTTTGGTGATTCAGTTTCCAAGGGGTGGAGGGGGGGGGGGGGGGGGGGGGGGGGGGGGGGCGCGTCTTCCAATTACAATTTTATGCGGCCTGAGCATTGTGCAAAATCGATTTTTCGATTTGAAAATGGCTCATTCGCTGCTCTTTCATGTCTCTCTCTCTCTCTCTCTTCTACCTCTCTTTTTGTCTTTTTGTCTATGCGTGGCTCGGGGGACCACTCATTGCATTACTCGCCCTTTTGGGCCTTAAATTAATTGCATTAACTTGGGAGGAAGCTTTCAGGAGGGATTAGCATAGGGTTGGGAATGCGTTTAGAATGCGAATTTCTTGATTTTAAATTGACTTTGAAAAGACAAGGAAACCCTTTCAACTAAGTTGCTGTTTCCTCCTCCCCGGAAATCTTGTGCCACTCGCCCTTCCTGGCTGGGAATTTGTCTGCTCTATTTGGCAACTTGATCTGAAGCTGTTGTACCCCTGGGAACCCCTATCCAGCAGCAGTGCTTCGCTCACACCCACACTCAAAAACCACGCTATGCCCCCGATAATGACTTCTTTTAGCCAAACAAAGACACAAACAAATGTTTGAGGAGGACCAAATAAAGGCAGAACCCCAGACAGGATAACGAAATCAACTCTTTCGGGACCCAAACAACTGACCTGCGACAAAGGCAGAGGCAAAGGAGCGAAACATCTGCCGCAGTGTCTGAGCGTCTGCATGTTACCTGCCCCTTGAACGATGCATGGATGATTGGTTGGATGGTTGGAAGGATGGATGGAAGGACTAAAGTTCAATGTACGCCTGCGCAAATACAGTTCACAATGGGCACGGCACAGCCAAAGTGCAGCTGCCCTAGAAGGGGAAGACCGGCAGACAGACGGAGACAGCGAGAATGTCAGGCTGGGAAGTTGTGATTTTTTGTTGTGTTGTCAGCACATCCTTCTCGACGCTGGTAACCAGAAGCCCCTAGAAGCGGAAATCTCCAAATTGTTGCTACAGTTATTGTTCCGCCTTCAGTCTGAAACTTTTATGTAATCTCTCGCGATCGGAATCGGGATCGGGTGTAGTAGTAGACTCCTGCCCCGTCCTATCCTGTGCGTGTAATACCGGTTTGTGTAGTCCCTCCGAAACACAAGTTGTTCAGAATGCAATTTGAAACTTTACCCTCTTTTGGGGTCTGGCTACTGCTGAGCCATGGATTGGGGGGCCCTCTTCCTGTGTCCTCCACACTTGTGCATGTCCTAAGTCTGTCCCACGGGCCTACGGGTTCTGGTATTGGGTTACAGCTCTGCGAGAGAATATGTTTGGAAAGCTGTTCCTTCAGTTGAAGTTTTTTATGCTGGTTTCTGGCCAAAGCAATGTAGAAGAGAAAGGCAGCAGCATTTTGGATCTGGATAATGATGCTGGAGCAGCTGTCTGCTGGGATCTGATGCCTGTTTCTTGTCATCGTTGTGGGTCCAATAAAACTCTCGGAATCCTCACACACACGCACACACAGAGAGAGGAGACAACCGCAGACAATCAATCGAATTGGGAGCCACATTCAAAGAGCAGATGCCAGGCTCTAGTCCATCTATGTTTGTGGCACATGCCACAGGCTCTAGCGGAGAGCTCACGTTGAGAAGGAAGGCCACGGCCTGGACAGATGTTACAGTCGTAGGCCCTAGCCACGATACGAAGTAATCAATGCAACAGCAGGCAGGCCAGGCCAGACCGATCCCTTCTGCCTTCTACCTTTCAATGTGCAACGGTTGCCGGCTGCAACTCGAAGTTAGACATCGCTGCACACACACACAACAGTCAGTTTAGTTTCACATTTTCAGTGCATTTTACAGCCAACATCTGTCGTTGCAGTCGTTTTATGCTTCTCCTTGGACAGATGCTCAGTCGCTCGTTTGTTGCCTTCAGAGCTGGGGCCAGGACTGCCTTGCTGCACGTTCGAATAAGTACTGTGCGTGTGCAGGGTGTGTGTGTGTGTGGCAATGGTATCTTTGGGGCATGCCACACATCCATGCTGCCGAGCCTACAACTACCCACTCAGAAGACGCACTCGACGATTGGGGGATGGATGGATGGTTGGCCAAAAGTCAGCTGTTTTGCGCAATGTTTATAAACAAAAATCGTGCGATGGCAGAGTAACCCTTAGACATGTCTGGGCATATATTTTTGGAATCACCACCGCCGACACTCTGGCAGAGACATGGCCAGAGTCAGAGGCAGAGCCAGAGCCAAGGCCGGAGCAACCACCGACCGACCTACATATTGGCGCACTGGCACTCAGAAACTCTGGGCCACATGGCGCACGGGGTGGTTCCGCTCACACGCAGAGCTCTTCTGGTTCTTCTGTTCAGTGGCCTTCTGTAGGTGCAAGGACGTTGGGAAATCCCCCCAAAAGGAAAAAGTAAACAAATGGAAAAGCAACCCCAGCCCAGTAGTCGTCTGGCACCGACAGTATCCGCTCTTCTGGTTGCTGGTCTCTGGTCATGTGTTTTAACCCACCACCTAACTGATGGTTTCTGGTGGCGTGTGCCTGTGGCCTGTGCCTGTGCCTGTGCCGGCATGTCATCCATCCACACAACATCTTCGTCAATTTTTAGGGGTTTTCCCAACAAAAATACGCAATCGAAAACCAAAACAGAGCAGGGATTCATACGGTGGTAGTTAGAGCATGGAGCGCAGTCCGTGCGCTCCCATTCATAAAACATAAACAAACCCCCGTGGAAGCGGCGCTTATGAGCTGTGCTGTGCGAGCACTCACTCGCATTGTTTGCCCACACCGACCACGGTGACGCTTACGATTGCGATTACGACCTGGACTAGGACTACGACTACGAATACGACCACGACCGTGGTAGGTGGTGTTCCGGGTAGTCAGGTGCACGGGCAACCCTCTACGACGGAGTGGTAACAAGTTGGTAGCTCAACAGGTTCCGGGTGGTTGAGGATTCTCACTGGGTGGGTGGCTGTTTTTGGGCCGATTGCAGATTGAGGGTATGTAATTAATGCAAGTGTGGGGGTTACGTTATGGCATTGACCCAATCCGATATCCCCCGAATGTGAAATGGAATGGAATTCCTTTGCTCGTAGTAAAGATGTTGAAGGGGTGAAGGTCATGCGTGTCCTTACCTATCCTTTACCTAAGAATGCTAATGTTGTGTAGGGTTAGGATCAGATTGGAGCATTCCTGGCACAGATTTTCCCTTAAAAGATGTGGCAAGAATTTGTGGAGCTTTGCTGATAATCGCTGCCTACTTTCGTGGGTTCAAGACTTTGACGACAGATTCCAAGAATGGAAATGGGAATAAGCATTGGGAGATACTCGATGTAAAACAAGAAGTTCTTCTGTAGAATCTGGATTTATCCTGTCAATAAATGCACAAAAATTTAATCTATTCATGTAAAACAATAGTCTTAAAGCACTGTAAGGAAATCTGAGCTTCATAATTATCCAACGAGGCCTTCCACATTTTCTGGCCTTTACGTCCACATTGTTCTCCTAAGTTTGGCCTTCTTGAAGTTGTCGCTCAGTTTGAAAAAGTGGCCGACAGGCAGCCATGGCCTGGCCTCGTTCTACATTTCAGCCTAAGCAACAGATCTGAATCTGAATGTGGAGCATTATGTTTGGGGGATACCAGAGCCTGGCTCCTTTTCCGTCTGCTTCTTTTACTTTCATCCTGTGGGATGTCCAAGTGGCAGCCTCTTGAGCACGCGCCTCCTGACAAGATGACAAGTTTACCGTGGTTTTGTGTACTTAGATATAATTTTACGGTTTTGCTTTGCGCTTTCCAAAATGGCGACAATGGATGACCAATAAAAGTGGCAGGGGGCGGGGGGCCCTCGGACGCAGAGATGCGAAAAACGTTCAAACCCAAGCGAACAATGGCGGACGAGGCGGACGTCGTAAAAGAGAATTAATTAGATTGCGGCGGCAGCTGCTGGGCGTACGTACGGCAGCTGAGCGGGAGCGAGAGCGAGAGAGCCCAAACAACGGCTAACACTGAGGACATAACTTAAGCCAGAGAGCAATAGAGAGAGAGAGAGAGAGAGTGAGAGAGCGCGCAGCGAGTCTGTGGTGCGCTGAAAGCCTGCAACTGTAAAGTTGTCATGCGCTTTGATGGCTTTGGACTGCCTCTTGCTCTGTCGTCGGTATATTCCGTCATTCCTTTTCCTCTACTTAATACACAACAATAACAACAAATATGAGTATGAGGATACACACTAACACAAACACACACACACACTTAGCACACGTATAGAGTGAACATAAAATGTAACGAACGCTAAAGCAAAAACAAAACAACGGCAAGCGGCACAGGAACCAACGCAAAGTGACAGGGGGGAGAGACAGAGACACAAAGAGAGGCACAGGACACAGCACACAGCACACAGCACAGCTCAGCGCAGGCAGAAACGAGGCAAAGGCAGCGGCAAAGGCAAAGGCAAAGCCAAACAGTTGTGCAATTGAGATAAAGGACAACAAAAGGGAAACTTGAAAAAGGGGACGCGTGCTTTGCTTTTTGGTCGGGTCGATGTCGCAGTCGACGCTGCTGCACAGTGGTTGTTGTTCTATCAAAAATGGTTAAAAAAAATAAATGTGGTTTTCAAAAGTCAATGCATTAAAACTACTTTAAATGTTCATAATAAATATTCTCACTGTCTTAGAAGTATAAAAAATTGTTTCAACATTTTATAAAACGAATTAACTATATCAATAATAGATCGATGACATTTTCTATTACTAAAACCTAAAGAAATTTCACAATTATGGTATATTTTCTAAGTTACATATTCCTTTGCTTGCGCATGAACTTAAATGTTTATGCCCCACTGTCCCTAACTTCCGATGCGAACGCGCGTGCTAGTCGTCACAAAAGGATATAAAACAACAACTGCAAAGCAGCAGCAGCGTCAGCGCCAGCGCCAGATCAGGAGTTGGAGAAGGAGCAGAGGAGAGCAGCAGCAGGAACAAGAAAAAAAGCATAAATAATCTTGTAGTTGTTGTCGCAGCTGAGGAGCCAGGCTCGAATTGAAATTTTATGAGAAATTGTATTAGAGAAATGCTTTGTAAATCACACGAGACACGAAATGACACGCACACATGCATATGCATACGGCGCAGAGGCATACGTGCGTGTGTGTTTTCGTTCGTTCGTTTCGTAGATGCACAAATGGGAAATGGAATTGGGAATGTGGCAAAAGGGGACGCGCATTATGGCAGTCTCTACGTGTGTTCTTTCGACGACGTCATCGCCGCTGCTGCTCTGCTACTGCTACTGCCGCAGTTGTTGTTGGTTCCTGTTTTCGCTTTTTACCGTTCAGTCAATGACCACATTGTGTACACAAATGCAGGCGCTCTCTCTGTGTAGTGTGTGCTTGTGTGTATGTCCTGCCGGAAGTTGAAGCCGCCGTCTGGTCATTCTCGCTGCTTTCGTTCAAGCTCTCGCTTCGATAAGCTCTCCCCATGTCGCTCTCTCTCTCTCTCATACTCTCGGTTTGTTCCGCTTGAGCTCATTTTGAAAAACAAGTATTTGCCGTCTCGCAGGATCTGTGTGTGGCTCCCCTTGTTCACTCTCACTCACTCTCTCTCTCTCTCTCTCTCTTTCTCACTTGCACTCCCATAAAAAAGTGCTGCGTTTCCCACTCGCATTTTTCTTGCTTTTGGCTTTGTTGTAGTCCTGCAGCGCAGTGTGGCCCATTCCTATCATTCTGCGCACACGGTTCTCTCTTCTGGTCACGCTTTGATCCTGCCGTTCGCCCGCTCCCCACACTCTTCCTGGCTTCTCCCCCTCCATAGCATAGGCGTTGCCCGGCTAATGACATGTTGTAAATTATATTTCTCCTCAGTATTTCGTACGCCGCTTCATGCTGCCATAATTACGGCTCGGTTCGGCTTCCTTCGCCATTCGCCTTCGCCTTGTTTCATTTTATAAAGTTCTTTATGGTTCGTCTGTTGGTTCTTTTTGTATGCAGTTCCCCTGTCCAGAAAGGGGGGTCCCAACTCTGACGTAATTACTGCAGTTTTCGATATCCTTTCCAGTTGCAGATGTGCTAATTTTCCTGCTAAATACTTGCACTTTCTCGCTTTTTTTTCAATTTGATCTGTTCTTGTGATAACAGAACTTGTTCCCAGATATTTTATCTGATGATAGTAACTGATCGTGCTTGTGGGTTGTATTTCTTATCTAATCATTTACCAGATCACAAAGTTTCACTGATTACAAGATGTATCTCTCAATTCTTGCACAATTCCTAAAAAGGGATGTTCAACTGGGTTTTCTCCATAGCTGTTCCTTCAGTGTATTTTCTTAAATGTATTCCCAAATGTTCATCAAATTTCATGACATCTGAGACCTTCAAGTGTTTGACATGGTCCAGAACTCAAGTGGCCGGACTCCTGCCGTTGGGTTCGTTGTTTACCTGCCGCTGATTTCTGATCTCCCGAGATTATGCAGATCTTTGCCAAATATAAATCTGCGTAATGAGTGCTAAGCCCTTTGCGATTTCGCTGCCGGCTTAGTCCGAGAGGCAGCATGGAACTAGAGATAGAGAGAGGGAGAGAAAGAGAGACCTAAAGGGGAGCCAGAAATGCGAGGCGAGAGCGTTGCCAATGGCGAATGCATTTTCCATTCGGCACGTCTCGTTTTTGCAACACACACAGGAAAGCAGTTTGCCAAATGGTAAAAGGAAAAAGGAAAATGCATTGTTTGACAGATGGATGGATGGCTGTGGATGTGGATGTGGATGGAGGGACCGAGCCTCAGGGGACGGAGTGAAAAACAACTGCCAACTGCCGCTTTTCCACATTTTCCCTCTTCCATCATTATCCTGCCAAACTTGTTTGCTCTCGCTCTGTCGCTGCCGTCTCTGTCTCTGTCTCTTGCGCTATACCAATTTTCCTTTCAAATTATGCTTTGACCAAAGCATTCGCATTAAAAGGACAACGCTCTCCAGCTCCTGTATTTGTGTATGTGTGCGACTGAGCGAGCGAGCGACAGAGCTGAGCTGAGCGAGTGAGTTCCATCGACGGCTGCGTCGCCATCGTCCTGGCATCAGGCTGTGGTTCAGTTTCCTCTCGCAGCTCGAACAGCTCAGACATGCCGCTGGTCCGCGCTCGCCGTGTGTGTTTATAGTTCGCATATAAGAGCCAGTTAGCTGTATATACATACAGCCCAAACATATATATATATATATACATATATATTGATACTCTCGTGAGCCACCGCCCCCCGTCCCCGCAAAAAATATACAACCATTAAAAAAAGAGCGAAACGAAAGAAAGAAAACCAAGTCAAAGACTGTGGAACAGGCAAGACAAACGACGCCATTTGATAATCAAATTTCCCAACAAAAATTTAACAAAACCAAAAATCGAATCACACACAACCAAAGTAAACCCAATCAAGTTTTGTTTAAACAAAAACTACATAAATAGAAATTGTGCAACCAAAGTTCTGTGAAAGAAGTAAAAAAAAGAAAATCAAGTGAATATATTTAGGGATATATTCGATATGCAAATGCAGATACAAATAATGTGCAATAAACTACGAATCCTGATAGAGCAGTGAACCAACCACTCACTGGCCACTCCATAGACCAGACCGCCTCTCAGATACTTGAAGACCATTTTTTCCATTTTCTTGGGATTTACACAGCGAGCCAAACGAAAAGGAGAAACTGAATTATAAACCAAAAATACAAAAAAAAAAGAGAACGAAACGAAACAAAAACCCATCGAAGCACATCACAAGTGAGTTCTAAATTTCATCTTTCCATACCAAACACACACACAGATACTCCTCCTGTAAACACACACACACACAGGCATTTATCCCAGTCATCACTCGCCCCACTTTACTCGTTGCTTTGTCCACTCGCCCATTTTGTTGTATCCTGCCTGGTCCTCTCTCTCTCTCACTCACTCTCTTACGCTCTCTCCTACTCTGTGTCTACTCTGTGTTTCGCTCAGTCAAATATGGAAGCACCAACTAGCAATAGTTTTGCGCACTCGTCATTATCCTTCGTCATTGTTCCCCCCCTCCGATCCCGCTCCCCTCCCTTTCCCCTACATATCGTTGCTGCTCCGCTCTCTGCTCTGTGTCTCTGTCCTTGTCGCACACATTGAAACCTCATCGGGTGGTGGTACAGTTTTCTGCGTGGCCCAAAATTGCGTAAATTTTCATCTAGTTCGCGCTGGGATGTCTCGCACGGCGTTGGTTGTCCTCGCTTCTTTCTCTACTGCTGCTTTGGCTGCTCCTGCAGAGCTTTCAATCTGTTTTGGGCTGACAGTAAAATCGAAAAATCACGGAAAAAAAGAACAAGCGGAAACCGGAAAAGTTGTTAATACAAATACAAATACAAATACAGATGTAAGATTATTGCTTATTGGACGTTTTGTATTTTGGGAAGGATGTAGAAGGAGTCCTGGGCATTAATTGATTGCTCCTGCTGTGTGGCATGATTTATTGCGGCATCATCCATTCTCTTGCCATTTCGTGTATACAGAAATACATTGCAAAAAGTGGGAAATGGTCGACAAGTTTAAATGAAATTAAGTAATTTTCATTGTGTCGTTCAACAAAAAACGGGCATCGGTTCAACAGTGTTTTTCGCTCGGTGTATTGGGAACGAAATTAATGACTTAAAATTGGATTTTCAGCTTTTATTTAAGGCCTAAATTTAATGTTGAAATTTAGCACGATAAGCGTTAAACTTTGGGTCTTCGATCTACAATTATTGTACACCATTTTCATGGATTTCTTATAACATTATAATTATTATTTTTATTTAACTAAATTTAACTAAAATTTGCAGCTTATATCCAAAATTTCAGCTAGTTTAAGGTTACATTTTATGATCGGTACATTCTACATGCTACTAGCGCTACAATATCTAATCCTTAAGATCAATGCACTTTCTTTCTGATGGATTTGATCCTGTAACAAAGAGCGGGGAAAGGGGAATGCCTGCTGCTGCTGCTGTCTGTTGTCTAGAATTTTGAGGAGAGTGCAGAACGATCCTCTCCTCGAAACAGCGCGCAGAGCGGCACACACGAAACCAACTGCATATCCTGCCAGCCTCTATACACACGGCTCGAATGGCCTGCTGTTGCCCCTGCCCCCGTCTCGGGTGCCGCTGCCGCTGTCGCTGTCGCTGCTGTTGCCTCGCCCATTCAGGAAAAAAAGGCGCACGAAAAGTTGCAGCTGTTCTCTTTCTGTTTGCTTTTGTGGCAGGCACCGATCCGATCCGATGCGATGCGATCGTTCAGCGGCGGGGCAAGCAGGCAAACAGGAGGCACAGGCACTGAGACCTGAGACTGTGGCAGGGGCAAAGGCAGGAGGCAGGAGGCATCTGCTACGGATTAATGGCCTCTGCGAGTGCCTAAAACTGATGAATGCGGGAGTTTTAATGCCTCTCTGCTTTTATCACAGTTCCAGGATCGATCGAAATTAGGTGAAAGAAGAGAAAGAACAGACAAAGAAGGTAGAGAGCGCCTTTCGCTCAAATGAAAATGTCTGAAATACCGCGCATCATGGTCTTCCGACCCACCTGGGAGGAGTTCAAAGACTTTCCCAAATACGTGGCCTACATGGAGTCACAGGGCGCCCACAAGGCTGGGCTGGCCAAGGTGGTGCCGCCCTCAGAGTGGATACCACGCCGCAGCGGCTATGCCGATTTGGATGCCCTGAATGTGACAATTCCCGCGCCCATCTGCCAGGTGGTGACGGGCAAACAGGGATACTACCAGCAGATCAACATACAAAAGAAACCGCTGACGGTGAAGCAGTTCAGCGATCTTGCCAGCACCGAGCGCTATGCCACGCCCAAGCACTTTGACTACGAGGATCTCGAGCGCAAGTACTGGAAGAATATTACCTATGTGGCGCCCATTTACGGTGCCGATGTCAGCGGCAGCATCACAGATCCCGATCAGGATGTAAGTTTAAGTTTGAAGTTTCTGTTTGTGGGGCTTTGTGACCGACCTGTTGTTGTCCCTCATTTGGCAGAGTTGGAACATCAACAGACTGGGCACGATACTGGACTACGTGAACAAGGACTACAACATACAGATCGATGGCGTGAACACTGCCTACCTCTACTTTGGCATGTGGAAGACAACGTTCGCGTGGCACACCGAGGACATGGATCTCTACTCGATCAATTACCTGCACTTTGGTGCACCCAAGACGTGGTATGTGGTGCCGCCAGAGTATGGCCGACGGCTGGAGAAGGTGGCCAATCAGTATTTCCCGGCCAGCTACAAGAACTGCAATGCATATCTGCGCCATAAGATGACGCTCATATCGCCGCAGATCCTCAAGCAGCACAATGTGCCCGTCAGCAAGGTAGTAGCCCATCCAGAGAGAGTGTGTGTGTTCCTCCTTCCTAGCTAAGTCTACCCATTCCTCCTGCAGATCACACAGGAATCGGGCGAGATTATGATCACCTTTCCGTTTGGCTACCATGCGGGCTTCAATCATGGCTTCAACTGCGCCGAGTCCACAAACTTTGCCATGGAGCGCTGGATCGAGTACGGCAAGCGAGCGGTAATACCTCCCCTGCCCTGCCCTGCACTGCCCCTGCCCGCACTTGGGACTCATGCGCGTGTCCTTCCCTTCCTTGCAGGTCCAGTGCACGTGCAGCAACGACATGGTCAAGATCTCCATGGACACGTTCGTGAAGCGCTTCCAAAGCGATCGCTACGACATGTGGATGGAGGGCCGGGATGTGGGCCGACATCCAGAGGATCCCACTGGGGGTACAGCCATCACAGCTGCACCGCTGCCGCCACACCTCGATGTGCTGCTGTGTGATAAGAAGTAGGTTTTCTCCCAACTGCTTGGTCTGTGGCATGCCCCCTCTGACACTCCCCGTTCTTCCACTCTCCCCCTGCAGAATGAAGAAGCAATGCAATCCCACCATAGCGAAGAGCTTTAAGGAGCGCAATCCAGACCTCGATCTCGATGAGATTCAACAGAATCCGAATGTGCCCGACGATGTCAAGGCCATGCTGAAGGAGAGCGTCCTCACGCTGGACACGGGCGACCTCGGCATCGAGCCTGAGGGCGATTATCCGCACGAGGATGCTGTCAGTCTGCAGAGTCCGGCGGACTTTAAGACCAAACAGGAGCTGCTCGAGTACATGGATGATGGGACAGGTGTGTAGGCCAGTCCCTAAGAGTCCCACCACCAGAACTGACTGAAGAATTTTCTCTTTGCTTTCTTTCGCTATTTTCTCTTCCTTTTCTCTCCCTTTCGCAGAAGACGATGATGAGGAGGAGGAGTTTAAGCGTCGCAAGGCGAAGCGGCGCTACGATGCGGACTACGATGACGATTGGCTAGCCTCCCACCATCGCCGCACCAACTCGCGGAACAGCAGCCGCGGTCGCAGTCCGCGCACCAAGGACGAACGCTCCACATCGCCAGCCTCCTCCACATCCTCAACATCGCGCGGCGGACGACGCGGCAAGGGCAGCGCGACGACTCGCAAAACTCCTTCAAAGCGAAAAAAGGATTCGAACGCTGCAGTGTCGCCGGCTGCAGCAGCCACAACACTTGCCACAGTGGCAGCAGCAACAACAACAGCGGCGGCAGCGACGGTGGCGGTTAGCAGCGATGGAGGTGAGAGCAGGAGCTTCATAAGCCACTGCACCACTGCCACATCCATATAACCAACGCAATCCCATCATCAATCATCAATCGTGATCCCATCATCATCCAGATCCAGATCCAGTTCCAGATCCTTCCCAGACTCTCCAGCCAACAGCACTCTCCCCATCCATCATCACTTCCCCGTGGATGGGTCGCAGGCCGTCACTCTTTCGTGGCTTCCGACAATCCCGCGACAAATGTAAATAAACTTTAGCCGCAACCAGCAGCTGTCATGTGTTCCCCCAGCCCCCAGCCCTTTGTATCTTGTATCTTGTAGCTGTTGCTTGTGTTTTTAACCGATAATACCGATACCAATACCTTAAGGTCTCTTAGCTCTGTTCCATATTCTGTTTTGTTCTATAAAAATCTAGTTGTAAGTGCGCCCAGCAACAAACAAATATACGATCACGCTTTTAAAACTATGCTAAAAAAACTAACCAAAAACCAAAACTGTTTTACTAAAACCTTCCACGCCGCGTAACACCCATTTAACCCACAACGAAACCACAAGGTGGCTGTTTGGTCTCTCTGTTTGGGCCTTTGTCATCAGTGTTTTGCTCTGCTTTCGCTTGCGATTTCGATTCTGCTGCTGCTTACACCCAACACCCAACACTCACACCCATTGCCCCCTGCTATTTGTTCCCATGTCCTTTCATCTCTCTGTGTCTGTGTGTGTGTTTACAACTCATTTGAACCATTCATAAACATCTATGCTACTGTAGCTAAAACACATATTAAAACCGTTCCCGATTGCCATTTTCCAGATGCCAAAAAGGAGCAACAATCGCTGGCATTCATGCAACAGCCTCGCAAATTTGAGGGCAAAATACCAAAACTAAGTCAGGCAGCAGCAGCAGCTACAGCTCCCACAGGCGTAGCAGCCACATCCACATCTAGTCAGGATCAGCAGCGCATATTCTACATCAATATGTTGCCCTCAGCCAACACGCTCAATGGCATTCCACAGCAGCAGCCGCAACAGCAGCAACAGCAACAGCAACAACAGCAGCAGCAGTATGGTAGCACCGATGGCAATGTCTATCAGCTGCAAAACGAAATACTCTGTGATGCAAATGGACAGGCCGTAACGGCTGCCACAGCCACATATCAGACGACAGTGCCGAGCAGTCCCCAACAACAACAGCAGCAGCAGCAGCAGCAACAAAATGTTGCTGTTAGCGTGGCCAACAACGCTGCCGGTAAGTGTCTTTTCCGTCATTATTTTGTGTTGTGTTTTGATTCCTTCTTAACTTAAGTGTTTCTTTGTTTGTTTGTTGGTTGTAGTCTTTGTGTTTGGTTTAACTTTTAACCCACTTTGTGTACTCGTAATTGGTGTCATGTCAAAGCTCTCAGAACTAACCGAACCACACCCACACACACATGTGTACATAGTATTCGTAACTGTTTTTATTTCTTTAACATTCAAAAATAATTGGCCAAAAATTCAACAGTTCAAATACCAAAATTAACTCGATTTTATTTCGTAAGTGTCTGCATTTCATTCCATCATTCATGCCACCATCAATCATTCCATCCATTCAGAATATTCGGAGGATCTGTTCAACTGTTCAATTATTATTTGTAAATGTTTTCTCTTGTGCCCAAAATGTACTCGCACCACTGCGGAGAATATCCAATGATTGTTTCTTCCATTTGCGGTGCTCAAAATGATTCAGACTCATCCTCCCCCTCAATCGAATGAAAATCCTTCACCTGTTTAACAAGTACCAAAAATGCTTTTACAACTAAAAACAAAAATACTCGTGTTTCATTTTCCGACACGACACTCCTCCCACTGCCATTTGGTCTGGTCTGTGTGTGTCTCTGTCTCTCTCTCTCTCACTACTCCTGTCAAATGTCAAAAATATTTCCATCAAAAAATTTAAATAAATAAATGCACATATCATTTCCGCAGCGAAAACTCCGTGCTGTGCGCGTTGAAAATGGCTCAAAAATTGTTATATTTCATTTATGCAATTATTAGTTGTAACTTTTTATTTTATTTTAGTTTAGTTTAAGAGTTAATTAAAGTTCAAATGTGGCGCGCGTGCTCAAGTGTGACCAGCTGCTCAGTCAAAGCAGTGCTACCCAACTTTGCGCAGATGGGCAGCACTGGTGCCGCGTTTTTGGTCTTTTATTTATTTTTGTTAATCAATTAGATTTGTTTTTATGATTTAAGTTAATTTTAGTAAAGATTTTTATTAGATATGTCTGTTTTTGTTTTTTCCTATGTTTCTATTTTATTTCTGGTCTGTAAAGCAAAGACACTATTCGTTGGCAGGACACTTCCTCCTGCTGCAACGTTTGGCCAATTGACAAATAAATACTTTGCTCTGTCCTCTGTTGTACACTTAGTTATTGAAAGTATTTATCCTTTTCGTTTTCCTTAGCGTTTTGCGAGTACTGTACCAGAGTTACGATTACGATTGCTACTTAAATATATAAAACTTAGATCTAAGTACTGCAAAAAACACAAATTCTACCGACAAACAAAAACCAATCTATCACTCTCTCTCTCTCTCTATATATTAGCTATATATTTTTGATATATCTAAAGAAGGTCCAGCGCTGTATATATGTATTTACATATGTACATGCGGACATTGTACGAGTAGTTATCATTTTGCACTACATTAGCTTTTTGATTTCGATTGATTGATTAACGATTTTCAATTTGAATTCCAATTTCGATTACGATTACCGATTGATTTATTGATTTATGCAAATATTACATTCAAACACATCTTTTATGAACCAAACCAAATATGTATTTTCCAAAAAAAAATATATAAACAAAAGACAATGTGGTCACAACTATTAGTTCGTCCTCCATCCTGCACACGAACGGCACCACCGCCCACACGAACGGAGGAGGAGCAGGAGGAGGCGGAGTGGACACCAACGAACATCAGCAGCAACAACAGCAGCAGCAGCAGCAGCACCATCATCAGCCACAGTACCACTACATCACCACCACTGGCGAGGATGGACAGACACCGACGACCATAGTTTTTGAGAACTATAATGGCGGCATGCCCACATCTGTCACGTCTGCCACACCCACGCCAGTGTCGGTGACTGCCTCGCCGGCGCCAGCAACGACCACGACCACGGCGCTGGTCAACACGGACGGCACAATCATCGAGTTCGATGGCAACACCTACGAGGAGTATCATGTGCTCAAGAGCGAGCCGGGGAGCAGCGACTGTTTGAGCAATGGGAGCAGTGCCGTGGCGGCGGACATCATCAAGTACGAGCCGCAGCATGTGGAGGAGGATGACGAGGAGAGTGGCCTGCAGGCGAAGTACGAGGATGAGGGCCTGCAGGTGAAGTACGAGGAGCAGGAGCAGGACCTAGACCAGGGGCAGGAGTACGAGGAGTATCAGGTGATCAAGGCCGAGGTGGAGGCAGAGGCGGCGGAGCAGGCGGCAGGCATGGTCAGCTACACAATCACCAGCCTGCCCGACGATCACAGCCAGCCGCAGCAAGCCAACTCCGGTGAGCCAAATGCCAGCATGGTGCCCAAATCTGGTTCAGCGGCGGCTGCCAAGCAGAAGCGCAAGCGGAAGACGCGCGTCATTGCCGAGGACGAGCAGGGCGAGTACCTGGAGAAGATGAGTGTGCGCGGCTTGGACATTGCGCGCTACGAGCACATCATCGACGGCGTGGCCTACTGCCTGGTGTGCGCCAAGAACGAGATCTTCAAGACGTTCAAGAACAAGTACAGCTTCCAGCGGCACGCGTACCTCTTCCACGAGGGCCAGAACCGCAAGATCTTCGCCTGCCCCATCTGCAACAAGGAGTTCTCGCGCCCCGACAAGATGAAGATGCACAAGAAGGACAAGCACGGCGATGTGCCCATGCCGCCATCGGCCACAACCACGCCCCTCAAGGGGGACGGCACTCCGGCCGCCAAGCGACCGCGTACCTCCCGCACCCCACGTGTCCGCAAGTCCAAGGCCAGCGATGCGGGCACACCGACCGGCACGCCAGCCAAGAAGCGCCTCGCGCAAATCGACAGCGTGCTGGACGATGTCCAGAACTCGGAGGGCATCTCCGTGCCACAATCCCAGCATCAGCAACAACAGCAGCAGCAGCAGCAGCAGACGGTGGTGAAGGTGGAGGGGCAGACGCAGCCCCACTACGAGATGCAGCACACGCTGACGACGACGCAGCCGCAGCAGCTGCAGACGCTGCCATCGCTGGACTTTAGCGGCATGATACTGCCGGGCGGAGCTCAGCTGGCCCTGGCCAATCCGGGTGCCAGCAGCTCAATGACCCTGCAGCGCGGTGCCACCACGCCGAACGGCGGACAGGCGGGGACGGGGCCCACGACGACGCTCATCTACTCGAATCAGCTGGAGCTGCAGCAGGCGCTGTTGCAGCAGCAGCTGCACGGACAGAGCATTATGATCCAGGATCAGGCGGGCAACCTCGTGCCCCTGCAGCTGGACGGCAGCCAAACGATATACACGACGGCGCCGGCACCGCAGCAGCGGGCTCAGGCGACGACGGCCACGTACCAGACGACCCAACCGCAGCAGCAGCAGCAATTGGTGCAACATCAGCAGCAGCAACAGCAGCAGACGGTGGTGAAGGTGGAGGGGCAGTCGCAGCCCCACTACGAGATGGAGAACGTGACCTACCTGAGCTCCACGGCGGCGGCCACGCCAACGACGGCCGAGCAGCAGCAGCAGCAGCAGCACCAACAGCAGCAGCAGCAACAGCAGCAACACGTGATTGGAACCGTGCAGAGCTACCAGATCCTGACGCCCGATGGCCTGCAGAGTTTCCAGCCCAAGCTGGAGCCCGGGGAGCTGGGCGACCTGTGCCCCTACTCGCAGTACACATTCCAGCCCACGCTCAATGCCAACGCCCTGGACGCGCACACGCAGCAGCAGCATCACCACAACCAGCAGCACCACCACCACCAGCAGCAGCAGCAGACGCATCTGCTGCAGCAGCAACAGTTCGCCACCCACAATCCGCACCAGCAGTTCATGGAGCTGAAGAACGAGCTGCTGATCAAAGGCAGCGACGCGTACGCCCTGGACACTGGCTCCATGTACCACCTGCCCTTCTCGCCCACCTCGATGATCAATGCGGTTAACGATGTGAACACATCGTCCCTGCTGGAGACCAAAGAAATTAGGTAAAAACTTCCGCTAATCCCTCTCCCTAATCTACTCTCTCTCTCTCTCTCTATACTCCCCCACTTTTAGATCTGTCTCTCTTTCTCTCTCTCTCTTTGTAACTCGCTCGTCTAGTATCTTTATCTCTCTCTTAATCTTTGTCTTAAATGCTCCTCTATCTGTCTCTTTCCGTTGAATCTGTTGCGTAGTCGGCGGCGATGCTGCAAGTCGCTTGTGTACCGTTGTCTTTCCTATATTTCCACGTATTTAGTGTTGAACAACGCCGTTGTACCATATGCTACTAAACACAAGAACAGCAAAGAACGACTAAAAGCCGAAAGCCAGTCAAGTGCAACGAAATGAAATGAAACCACCGAAAAAGACGTACATTAAGCATTAACCAACCAATCAGTTTAGTTTTAAAACTTAGTCCTATGCATATTATAATTTATTTAGTATCTATTATTATGTTGTAACCTTTAGACTTACGCATACCATACATATATTTATTTAGTATGCACTTTTTGCTTCTTCTTTTTTGTCATTCGTTGTACCGATTGATATACCCACGATATATGCCAGCATATTTTGTGCATTTATTTATTGTTTTCACACACACACCCACCCCCACCCCCCGCACTCTACGCTGTACATTCGAGACTATGCGTTGTCTCTGGCTTTTTTGTTGCTTCCTTCTCCCGCTAACACTCCCGTTAATCCTGCCTAACATCCAAGTTCCTAATTCCCAATTCCTTATGTGATATAATCAAACATTGTTGGCCTGTTTTTGTTCCGAGAAAATAAGTTATGTTCAAATACGTTTTATACCTCAATGCAATTTTGTTCTTTTTCTTTCTTTTCTCTTGTTTTATTTTATGTACACAACCAACCCACCAACCAACCAATCAATCAATCAACCAATAATATAAAAATCGCGTATGGTTTATTCCGATAACGAAAACAGCTACGATATATCAGAGGCGGTGCTATTAGCCCTCTGAGCCATCTGAAACGCCATCGAAAGCTGCAGCCAAAGTACCAAAAAATATAATTTAAACAAATGAAAATGAATAAAACTATAAACATCGAGAGTGAATAGCAAAATGCCTGCTCGAGAGCGAAAGCAACGCAAATGGAAGCCGGTGCACCATCAAAATATACTTCTAGATAAAGTATATAAAATACCCAAAATACTCACTGTCTCGGCTCATTGATATAGTACATTCGCTCATTCAATCAATCAAGCAGTCAACCGATCGATCAATCAATCATTCCTCCATCATCACTTGTTGTGCCTGTTCCTCTCTCTCTCTCTCTCTATTTCTCTCTCTCTCTCTCTGTGTGTGTCTCTTTTGTGTGTAACATCTGAAAACAGAAAACCAAGATCCGCTCTTCATGAATAACACACACAAACACACACACTTAACCAATATATAACATAACAAAAAATAACAACACACATAAAAATAAAACAATTAAAATTGGACATTTAGTGCAAGGTATGTGTACTTTTATTTATTCGTCTTTTTTCGTTTTGTTTCTCCTTTCGTTTTGTGTTTGCCTAACCGTTTCCTCTCGTTTTGTTACTAACCGAATGTCATCTCAAGTGTCCCTCTCTCTCTCTCTCTCCTCCAATTGGCTCTCTCTTTGATCCACTCTTAACGGTACATTAAGGGGTACTTGTCAGACATGCATGTGCCAGAGTTGCACTTGCAGCATGCATGTGAATATTGTTATTGCAAAACGGTAAAAAATAAACGGGGGAATTGAGCGCAGGCAACCACAACACACACATCCCGCAAACATACATTCGATCATCAATCACAAAAGCCATCCCATCCATCAGTTATACGTCTAAGTACTATTTATAATTTACTAACCCAGATTAACACTGATTTAAGCCTATCCCCCCCCCCCCCCCCCCTAAATTAACCAAAACAAAACCATAAAAGCAGAAGAAAAATTGAAGCAAAATTGCTAATGAAAATATTTTATTTTACTTTTTTTCTTTTTTCATCCAAACATAAAAAAAATATGGAAAATAATTTTACGTTCGTCCGTTGTTTGTGTTATTTGTTATGATTTGCACACGAAACAAAATTCATCAACATGCGACATGAAACACACAACAACAACAACGACAACAGGTTCTTCTAAACACCAACAAAACCTCCACAACCAAAACTCCAAGAACAACAAGCAGAAGGCAATGTTCAAGCGGCCATACACACCCAGAATTCACAAACCCACCAACAACAACACCACCACCACCACCACCAACACGAATCACCAGAACCATCAAAACCACCGTCCCCCAAACACAGATGACTTGCAGCGTCGCCAGGCGAAGGCGAATCGCAGTGACCACGAAGTGATCGTCCTGAAGCAGGCACAAATGCGTGCCCGCAATCCCGCCAGCAGCACAGGTTGCAGCTTCGTCGATAAGTTTGCCGACTTTGTGACACACACGAACAGAATGCCCATGCCCCAACACCAATACCCCCCCGCCAAACAACAACACCAGTCCCATGCCGTCGCCGTGCCGAAACCACGAACTAATGCAAATGCTGTCTCATCTCTCATTCCTCCCTTCCGCAATGCAACGAACAGTGGAAGCAACGCCAACGTCAGCGCTGGAGCTGCTAGCAACTGTGTCTCTGTGGTGAGCGGCAGCGGAATCAATGGCTTCAAGGCCGGAGCCAAAAAGACGCCCGTGATCCTGCTAGCTGCCCGCGGACCCGGCAAGCATGCGCCCATCAGCCTCATCAATGGCACTGGCAAGGCCGGAGCGGGCGGTGTCACCTTGCTGCGCGTCAATGCACAGCCCCAACGCAATCAGCGGCAGGTCATCGTCGCCCCAGAGCAGGTGCAACAACAGCAGCAGCAGCAGCAGGAACTGACTGAGGAAGAGGCAGAGCAAATGGAGCTGGCGGAGGAGGAGGAACTCGAGGAAGATCTGGAGGATGACGAGGATCTCTCCTCTTCCACCGCTCAAATCCTACGCAAATTCCGCATACCCAAGGGCACGGCCCTGACTGCCAAGTCCGGGGACAACTATCTGGCCATGCCCACGCCCACACCGTCGCCCCCTGGGGGCGTCAATGCGGGTGGCTCCTCCGCTGATGTTGGCAACTACATTGAAAACGAAGACGACATCATCGAGGAGCTGCATGAGGATGATCTGGTCGAGGAGATCATCGACGAAGAGCAGTGCGAGGAGCAAGAGGAGGAGGAGGAAGCGACGACGGCCGACAACGATGGCCTCGACCTGAGCAGCCAAAGCCAAGCGGCTCCACAGCCAGTGGTAACAACTGCCCCAGCGACTCAGCAGCTGCTGCTCACCTCCGCCTCCCAGCCACCGCCGCTGCAGCTGCAGACGGTGAGCTCCAACGGCACGGTGACGTACCTCAATCTGCCACCCAACACGATCCTACTGCAGTCGGCCGATGGCAGCATCATAGCAGCCACCCAGGTGCCGCATCCGAACAAGGCGGGACAGCATCAGCTCATCGCTCTGCCGGGCAACGTAGCGATGGCCGAGCAGGCGCCCCAGGCCACAGCGCCGCCGACGCAGACGCTGCTCCTCACGGCCGACGGCACGGCCATTCCTATAATGACGAATGTCGCGCCCCAGCAGCAGCAGCAACAACAACAGCAGCACCAACAGCACCAGCAGCAGCAGCAGCAACAACAGCAACAGGCGGCTGCTGCTGCTGCTGCCCAGCTGTTTGCCGCGTAGGGGCTAATGGGTGGCCAAATGGGTCGATTTTTGAACAGCGCCACCATAATGCCGACCACTTATTTCTTTTAAGACTCGCCGCCAGTCGATAACAGATCCATACATAATGTTGCTCATGGGACAGGGCTTCTCGCAGCCCTGTCTCGTCAGCAACATTTTGCCCAGAATCCGATTGAAATCGTCGCATTTGGCCACCCATTAAAGCCGCATTGATGGGGCAGTTTGGCAATTGAGGGAACACGGGCAATAGAAACAGTTTAAGAACAGACAAAAAAAAACTCACAAAAGCCAAGCTAAAAAAAACTTTGATATTACTACAATGTTGGATGTGCATAGAAAATTTATTTTTATACATTAATAATCGCGAATAGAACGGGGAAAATCAAATGTTGTTCAACACACCCAAAAAGACACACACACACAACAAGTAGCAGATAACACAGTGTTGTAAAGGAATCAAATATGTACATTTCAAAGGCAAAACTTAAGTTCATCTTTACATATAGCTACACATAAATTATTTATACGAGTTAAGCTTAGCATTAAATATTAAGTGCAAAGACGAGACACACACCCAAACCAGTTGTAACTACTCGTATTACCACCGCTGCCCACCCCAATGGGTTGAGCGGCGGAATATGTTTAGCCTAATTTTCGATTAGCATTTCGTATTTTATCGTATATTCATTTCTCACTATCTAAGTATGTATGGATATACATATGCAAACCTATGAATATATTTTTGTTCCTTTTTACGTATCGAGAAGTATATGGAGTACTAGTATTTCGCCACTAAGTTCCACAGAATCTATTTATTTATTTTTGTTAACGCCCCCGCAGACTTCCCATGAATTCGTCCAACCGTACAGCGTCGCGTAGTCCCTTTGTCCTTATGGGTTTTCTTTTATCATGTTGCATATTCTTTACGTCAAATATTATAACTACATTCATGTAGATTAGATGTATTGTATGTATGTTTTATCTGCAATTCTGTTATGCCATTCATCTAAGAGTGAGCGAATTCAGGCATAACACTGAACGAAACCGACTTTTAAGTTTGTAAACTCCTCCTCCGATCACGATCACGATCACCCTCTCACCCATTTGATACTTAAGGCTAAAGTAAAGTTATTTTTCATATGATTACAGCCCCAACTAGGTTAAGCGCCCCACACACACATAACATAACATTAATGGAAGACAATGATTTAAAGCGTACATAAGTAGAAGTAGTCTAAGGAGACCCACACAAACAAACAAACAAACAATTAAGATTAAAGAGAGGTGCACTTCTTGTAAGATATCCTTGTAGCTCTTAAGGTCTAACAATAAAACGAAGCTAAAGAGAGAAATTGCGAATTAAAATCAGCAACTCGAGCAGCCTACACAATATGTATAATAACGAGTCTAAAATAATAAACATTACGTATATATATATATATATATAAATAAATATATATTTATTATAAACAATAAAATACAATTTTAAAAATTTAAAACCAAATTATTTCCCAATTTGAACGGGCACAATGACAGTTTGTGAAGCCTGGCCAGTGGTTCGGTTTGTTGGGTTCGTTCTATTTCGTTTGGGTATCACTGGCACCATGGCCTTCGCACTGAACTTAATCAAACCGATGGACTGTGGTGGCTTCTCTCCGTAGTTTTCAAATGCCAACAGAACAATTTGGTAGTCACCCAGTGGCAGCTTGACGGGCACAACACTATCATCGAGGAATAAGCCGCGAGCAAAAATGTGGCCCTGAAATTAAAACTCACACATAACGAGTGCCTAAGTTACATTTCTGAGTTCTTACCACAAATGGACACGAGTGATTGAAGTTGGTATAACGCTTGACCACACCCCACAAATATCTTCCATAGGGACTGTAATTTCTGCGGCTAATAATGTCGCACATATTAACCACAACATCCACCAAGAATGGCTGATATTTATTGCTGTAGTCACGCTTAAAGATCTTCATGTGAACCTGCAAGGGCAGATGTTAGACCTGTAGTTATTTAGTGAGTGATTCCAGCTTACCGACATATTGCTCACTGGCTGTAGAAGTTCCACATCCATTTCTGCCACTGCCAAATTCCAGTTGATGGCTTTCAGTCTGCACGAGGCATTGGCAGTGCGCTTTGGAACGGTTGTGCATTCTATGTTTGTTGTTTTATAAACGATTTTGGGTTCGCAGCACTTAAGTGGGAGGATAATCAATCAAATTTACTTAATTTATAATATTTATAACGTTTTATTAACAATATTTTTTACCACTTTCCAAATCAGCAGGAAGCCAATAAGAAACGCAAATGACGAACGCATGATGCCAACTAAAATTCGATTTAAATATACCACTTACATATAAATGTTGAACTTACACTTAAAAAGCAATTAAATGTATTGCAATTAAACGATATTTAAATGCGCAATTAATTGTTGCTGACATTTAATTGTACACTAAGTGGAGCAGCAGAGATTTGGGTAACATTAGAAATCGCTTAAAATCGAATTTAATCAACGAAAAACCGATATAAACCAACAATATAAATATAAAGTTCAGTTCTTATGCTTCTTCCTGATGACTGGTGTCATTGCCTGGACATACCACACGAAGCCACCGGCATGATCTGGACGCTTGACGCGGTAATTCTCCATAATGGTAATGTTGATTTTGTACAGCCCCAATGGACAATTGGGCACATAGGTCTCGTCGACGTATGCGCCGCGTGCGATTAAGTGCCCAGAAAACGGACAAGAGTGATTGAAATTCGAAAACCGACTGGAAATCTTTATAAAAATAACACCAAAGGGCATAAAGTTACGGCGGGATAGGATATCGCATAGATTAACGACGACGTCCACAAGAAATGGCTGATATTGGTTGCTGTAGTCCCGCTTGAAGATTTGAATGTGCACCTAAAAAGGAAGGAAGGTATTACTATGGAAGTATTATGTGTTTTGGGTGGTAACATCACTTACCGAAATATTGTGCAGTGGCTTCAGCAGATCCACGTCCATGTGTGCCACAGCTTTGTTCCAGTTTATGGGCTTTATGTAGCACACGGGATTAGCCGAGAAGGGAGCAACGCCCAAGCATTCGATATTCTTCATTTTATAAAGCACAGCCGGTTCACAGAGCTGTCCATAAATTATACAATTAATTCTAGGCTACGAATCATAGAGGAAATACTCACCACCATTCCGCAGAGTACGAGCTGCGGCACCACAAGTGCCACGAGGTACATGGCCAGCAACTGCCAGCTAAATTCACATTTTACCATCAATCCAAATTCAATCCATTTTTAATTACTCTAAAAACAAATAAATGCTTCATTCCCCCCCTGATCGCTGCTTGGTTCTACATGGATGACTTTCAGTGTAGACGCGTCAGAGGAACGCTCCCCAGCCAATGTACATGACAGCCAAATTGTCCAACTTGGTGGCTTCATCGATGAGAAAGTTGACTTGTCCCTCGGTGGACAGTGGAATGCTGTTGGCCTGCTGGCGCTTAACCTGTGGAACAGCAAAGATTAGACTCTGAAATGAGTTCTGCAGCAGAATTTCTGCGCTTACGTGTCCCTGCAGACGATCGGCAATGCGCTGCACGTCGTTGGTGATCTTTGTGGTGGCGGCAGCGTTGCGACTCTGCGCTCCCACATCGTAGACAAAGGGCCGCAGCATGGACATCAGTGTCTTGGCCTCCTGCTTGAGCAGCCGCAGCGTGATCTCGCAGCACTTGCGGTAGCTGCCTTCAACTCCAAGCGGCCCCATGGCTGCGATCATGTTCTGGGTCAGGCGGAATGGCACCATTTCCGGGTAGGTCAACAGTTCGCCCTGGTTGAACAGGCAGTTGAAATCGACATGGACAGCGTCTCCGTTGCGCTCATCGAAGAGTATGTTCTCGCCGTGACGATCGCCCAGGCCCAGGATGTAGCCTACCATGGACATGACGGCCACGGTGCGGATGTATGCGTGTCTCGCCTCATACCAGCTGTGGGGCGTGGCGAAGCGTTGACGCAGCCACACCTGGAACACGGGCGGATGGGCGGGCAGCAGCTGCTTGGTGAACACATCGCGCTTCTTCTCTATGGGATCGGTCAGGGGCAGGGCCAGCTGCTGCAGCTGGCGGCTGGACATGACCCCTCCCCGCTGTGCGTACAGCGCCATGCAGATGCTGCGGTACGACGACAGATTGGGCAGCCACTCGACCAGGCCGCACTCCTCATTGAACGGCAGCACGGCGTAGGTGCGTATGTGGAGACGCCGCTGCCTGGCTGGCGCATCCTGGTGCAGATAACGCTTGACCAGGCCATTGAACTCCATCAGCCGGGCATCGCGTCGCAGATCATCCTTGGGCTTCACCATCACATCGTACTCCTGCCCGTCGCTGCAGCGAATTGTCAGCTTCTTGGGCTTGGCCGCCGAGCGCAGGATTGTCACTTGCTCCAGGAAGCCGCTAATGTAGATCTGCTGGTAGGGAAACCAGTTGACAGGGCTGCCGCTTGCCGCCAGCGGGGATAGTGTCGCTGCGCTGGTCGACTCCAGGGAGAGTGGCATCGTGGGCTGCATGTACTTCTCGAAGGGCAGAAGGATGCTCGAGAAGTCCGGCTGGCTGCACAGCTTGGGCAGGCGCTTGTCCAGTTCGCTCAGCTTGTAGCTGCGATCCAGGGCAACGTCCTTGTTGGTCAACTCAATCAGACGCTCCGTGAGGGAGTTGAAGTCGTGCAGGAGCTTCTGGAAGGCGGCGTTCTGCAGCCGGCCATCGGTGAGCACCAACTTGCAGCGCTTGATCCTGTTGGCTGTGGCTGACTTGAAGTGCGGCAGCAGCATCCACAGCGACTGCTGGGGATAGTCCTCCACGAGACGGATGATCACATTGCGCAGCACACTGAACACCTCGGGCTTGGGATGGCAGAGGCGACTCAGCATCTGGGAGAAGACTGTGTAGAAAATGGGCGTGGGCAGGGCGGTGCAGCAGTTGCTCAGCAGATCGTTCATTTTCTTCACGAGCTCTGGGTTGGTGGAGGACTCGCCTGTGTCCAGCCAGAGGCTGATCAAGCGGGGCATCGACTGGTAGACATGCTCCCGGCCATACCTCAGCGACTTGGCATAGTTGAGCATGATTTGGAGCAGCAGTTCGTCGCTCTCGTGGCTGGCCGTCGCACCCGACTTGCTGCTCCCAGCCTCGCGCATCTTCTCCAGGAACTGTGCCAGCTGCACGTGGCAGCCCTCCGACTGGCGGTGCACGGCAATGGCCTCATGGAAGTAACGCAGAATGGCATCCGCGCACAGGTGCATCGACTCGGCATTGTACACGGCCTGCAGGTACTTGCCCCCGAAGTACAGATGCCGCTGCTCCAGCGACAGCTGCTTGGCATTGCCCTGGCACGACCCACGAATGATGGACAGCTGCTCCTCCAGGTAGTTCATGGCCATCACCTGATCGCCCTTCTGCCACAGCAGCCGCGCGCGCTCCAGGAACAGGCCGCTGGGCTTGTAGTCCGCCGCCTTGAGTAGGTACAGTTGTGCCCGCTGAAGCTGCCCCGCATTCCGGTTGATCTGCGCACTGTTCAGCCAGAGACTGGCCAGCTCCGTCTGCAGATGCGGCTGCAGGTGTCGGCGATCCGCGAGACGTTGCTGCAGCTCGGACAGCAGATTGCGACGGAAACTGTTGATGGGCTCCTGCACGCGCACCTGCGGCTGTATCACCTGCAGACGCGCATGCCAGTCCTCAAAGTACTCACGCATCAGCTGCTCCTGCCGCTCCTCTGCACTCTCCTGCTGCAGCTGCTCCACCAGCTGCTGGCTGCACTGCAGCTCGTGGACGAGATGAAGCTTCAGCACCGCATCGTAGGCATTCGCGTACGAATGCTGCTGCACGGCGGAGCAACTGCGCAGCTGCTCCAGCACCGATCCCCGCATGCCATCCAGCAGCGAGTCGAACTGCGGCCGCGTGGTCAGCGGCTGGCGCAGCGCCAGGCAGCCTTGGGCGCACTGTGCCGGCCAGTTGGAGGATGATTTCCAGTCGTCCAGCTCGTCGTAGCTGCCGAGACGCCAGAGCAGCTCCGCTTTGCACTCGCTGAAGCATTGCTCCGTGTATTGGTCCGAGAGACGCTGCCACAGGCCATCCGCAATCAGCTGAGCCGTCTTGGGCGTGTCCATCAGGTAGGCATCGATCATGGCGCGGATGTGCTCCGGCTGCAGGTTATCCGTGCTGGACAGCAGCTGCTCGTAGCAGGTGATCATGTCCTGCTGTCGCTCCACCAGACGATTCACCAGAATGTCCTGCGTGACGCTCATGTCGTAGCTGCGCGCCTGCACAGCGCCCTCCACGGAGTCCGAGTCCAGCAGCTTGCCGTAGACCTCGACTAGGAACGTAAACTGTTCCCGAATGCGCTTGGACTTGTCCTCACCCTCCTCTAGATAGCTCTCCAGGTAGCTCAGGGCACGCGCATACTCCCCGCAGTTGTAGCTGGCGCGGGAGACCAACAGCTTGGGTATCCGCCCGAGAAACTCGTGAATCTTCCCATAGTTGGCATCCACATCCTGGGGCGGTCTGCCCGCAGTGCTGCGGCCGTGCATGCGCTGCCATTCGCGTAGCCAGCGCTGCAGAAAGTCCAGCAACTCCGCACAGAGCTTCCCCGCGAGTCGAGGCACATGGCTGGAGTCTTCCTTGCGCTCCAGGACACTGCCCGCTGGCTGCTTGACGCCTGCCGTGTACTTCTTCGACTCGAACATCTTGAAGGCGTTCTCCTTGACGGCGCCCAGTTCCTGCTGCGCCTTGGAGCTGGAGCTGGCACTCTCCTCGTTGGCCTGCAGCACAGCGAGGAACTCCTCCAGCATGTGCTGGCCCTGCTCCGCGTTGCACTCGAGGAGCGCGTGCAGCAGAATGTAGGGACAGAAGGTGCTCAGCATGTTGCCATCCCGCTTGATGCACGGCTTGTAGGAGCTGAGCAAGTGCCGCGTGTCCTCATTCTGAATGTAATCGATGAGGCGACTGGCCCACACGAAGGCCCACTCCTCGTACGAGTTGTTGGAGTAATGGCTGCCAAAGATCGGCTGCTGCTGGCAGTTGCTCGCCCGCTGGCAGCTCGTGTAGCAGGACTGCAGCAGCGGCTCCATCACCTGGCGCATGCGCGCAGGCAGCGACTGCCAGAGGCGCACCTTCTTCTGCTCCTTGGGCGAGATGCCGCACACGGCGAGCGTCTCCTGGATGGCCAGCGAGAAGCTGTCCACGTGTTTTGTCTTCTGCTGGAACTGGTAGCCGCGGCACAGCGCGGTCAGCGCCAGCACCGCAAAATCATCGGACATCACGGTCAGCGGCAGCGGCTGGGGACTGTCAAAGTTGTAGTTGGACAGGAGGTAGCTCGCATCGAAGGCCCCCAGCTCGCCCAGGCACTTGGCCGAGGCCAGCTGCAGCTGTCGGTCGTCGTGCTGGCAGCCAGCCATCAGCACGTTGACAATCTGCTCCAGCAGCGGCTCCAGCGGCAGCTCGTTGAGTATCATTCGGTTGAGCTGCGTGCGACGGCGGCCAAAGAGTTCGCCCAAATGCTGCAGCCCATAGACGCGCACCTGCAGGCACTCATCGATGATCTGCTTGTGCAGGAAGCGCAGCTGCTCGAGCAGCTGTGGCGGTGAGTGCGCCTCCTCCCCGGCCAAGTCTAGGTGGGAAGTGTGCCGCTTAATGCACTCGCGGATGTTCGGGGAAACGTTCTCCATGCGCTCGAGGAAGTACAGGTCCGTGATGAAGTTTCCCAGCATCGAGGCATTGCGAAGTATCACAAATTCATACAAATCGTTCACTTGGTTCACGCTCTCACCATCCTGCAGCAGCGGCTGCAGCGTGGCCACAATGCGGCCCAGGGAGGGGCCCAGCTCCTGGACATTAACCACATGCAGAAATATGTGCCAGATCTTGAGGCAAATGCGCTGCAGTCGCGGCTCCTGCAGCGTGTGCACAAAACTGAGCATGGCCATGATCTTGAAGCGGAACTGGGTGACATGTTTCGCGCCCACAAAGCGCATAATCTGACCCAGACTGTACAGCGTCTCCTCCTTGAGGGGCTTCTCGAAGGACGGCTCACTGAGGCAGCTCTCAAAGTAGGTGATGACGCCCAGGAAGCGCTCGGCAATGAACGTGGCAAACTCCGCATTGGCCGACTGGCTGGACAGGGGCTGCTCGTTGCCCACGGACAGCTGCAGCAGGCTCTGAAATGATTTCATCACGAACGTGGGGTTGCGATTGAAGTAAATCAGCAGCTCAGCGACAGTTTGCTGTGGAGAGTAATAGAGGAAAATGTCAGCAGGGAAAGGCAGTAGTAGCGAGATCCAGCTCCCACCTTAACATCCGCATTCATGAGCTCCTGCAGACTGGATTGCGTGCAGGTAACCACCAGCTGAATGCAACTATTGGCCAGCTCTGGCTCTTCGGTGAGGTAAACATGTGTGTAGAGACGCAGAAACGAGATGGTGAAGAGCGTCGCAATGGGTTTTCGCAGCTGTTTGGCTATCAGCACGAGTACGCCCTTGCAGCGCGGCTCCACAATGCAGTGCGGCAGCACCATGGCCGTCAGCAGGCGATGATACTTGCAGGTGAATTCCTGCACGCACGAGAAGCCCAGCATTTTGGTGAGCTGCAAGAGACAGATCGATAAAGATGCTGGCAAAAGGAGTGTTTCCCCATCTACTCACCGCTCGCAGGGAACGCGTGAAGCGCACTCCATCCGTTAGGTATGCTGTGAGAGCCAGACGCACGGCCAGATCGAGGGCATCCCGCTTATACCAGTTCCATAGGTTCACCGTCTGCAGGCCATGGCGTGCACACATCTCCGTGGCAGTCATCACGGCCTCCTGGGCCACGAGAGAGTGCGTGTGCACCAGGAAAAAGAAGGTCATCTTGAACCAGTGGAAGAGCCAAATCTCATCGATGTCCGAATGCGCACAGGAGATGATTATGCGCAGCACGGCACGCTGCTCCGATTTGCTTTGTTCCGCCAAAGGCTTGACCAGCATTTGCTTGATGGCAGCGAGCATAAAGTGTCCCAACTGCTGCATGAAATCGGCAGACTTTGAGCTCAACGCTGGAACCAGCAGACTGAAGCTCTTCTCACTCACTTCCTGGAGGCCCTGCTTAAGCAGACGCAGGACCAGCTCGGGGCTGACTCCAAGCAGATCCAGATGATGGGCAATGAGCGAGGAATCCTCTTGGAATAGCAAATCCTTGACAATCAGCTCAAGTGTGGCGCTGCTGAGGTCGAGACTGGACGCGGCATTTGGCTTTGACTTGCCCAGAAACAGGCCCGGCAGCTGATCTGGCAGTGGCCGACACTGCGGGCAGTAGAGCTCCACGCGATCTTCCACCTTAAACGCACTCAGCTGGAAGCACAGTAGCAGGCGAATCACTTTACTCCGTGCAGACGGATGTCCTATGCAGGGCAGCGCCTTCAACAGTTGCTCTGGCTTGAGGAATCCCGAGAGATACAGCTGCGGCAGATACTGGCAGAAGGTCTCCTCGCTCCACTCAATGAGACTCATGTACTGCTGGGCATAGAACGACTGCAGCTGAGTGTGCGCACTCGAAGGCGTCTCCAGGCGGACGGCACAAAGGTGAACTAGCCCCTCGGACAGATGCCGCTGGAGAATGGCCAGCAGTTGCTGCTGCATTTGCGGCTTCAGTGAGTGGCGTATGCAGGCGATCTGCATAAGTAGTGCGCAGATCTCCAAGTACATCTGCAGCTCTTCGGCGCTGGAGCGGTGCCTGGACTCCTGGCTAACCAAATGCGTTGACAATTGATTCCAGTTGATGTCCATCTCGCTGGGCAGCTCATACAACAGAGGGAACGTTGCCAGCATTGCCGAATCCAGCTTGTCTTTACCTTCCATTAACTCTTGTTGGTTCTGCCATAGGATGAGCTGCTCCAACTGCTTAAAGGCTCGCAGTATGGCAACCATTTCCCGCCACTCATCTGTTTGGTGTTGGTTCTGCGGCAGCAGCTGGGAGAGCGACAGGGTCAAGGCCTGAACGATGGACGAGCGCATTTCGGGCTGCTTCCCAGCCAGCAGAGCCAACAGTGGCAGCAGCTGCGCGGGATGCGAGCGCCAGTGGCTCATCACGAGCTCCTTCAGCAGCAACAGTTGCTCCATCGAAGTCGCCGAACTATCATCCAGCACACCTTGAACGTAGTGGCTCAAACACTGCAGCAATCCCTCGTCGATCTGCAGGTTCTTGGACAAGCCCAGAATCTCATTTAGGAGCAGATAACTCTGATGCAGGGCCTCGCGGCCACGCAACTGCAGCACAAGCAACAGTTGGCGCGTGCAGACATCGAGTCGTTTCAGCTCCTGCTGGCTCATGCAAACCATTTCCAGCCACTTGCCAGCCATGGACCACATCATGGTGATGGCCTCCAGTATCAGCTGCGCGTAATGCGCCACATCGGGGTTGGACAGCCAGCTCTGGGAGGACTGAGACTTCAACACGCCGTGACAGTAGTCCAGGCTGGCCAGCTTCGTGTCCATGTCGCACTCCTTGAGGATGAGCAGCGCCTGCTGCAGGCTGCCCGAGAATATGTCGCCGTGTGTGGCATCACCAATATGGTGCGCATGTTGCAGTATCGCTATCAAACTCTTGGCATATGCATCCGCTGTGTCCAACGGCAGCTGGATATCCTCGAATGTGCATTGGGGATCGAATTCCAGCAGAGGAGCGGCATCACACGTGAATATCCGCAGCGTAAGTGTCTTGTTATTTCTCGCAGACCCTTCGCTGTAGTCAAGTGCACTCAATTGCACATGGATCTCCTGCAGGGCCTCCACATAGGCCTTCACCAGGCGCTCGTACAGCTTCGGATGATTCGAGCAGCAGGAACTAATGATTTTCCTCTGCAGATTGAGGCACTGGCTGTGGTGAAATAATAGGCATCATTCTGTATATCATTTTATTGCACACCTTACCTGCCATCTGCACCCTTGCCCAGGCACTTGGCTAGTTTGTTCAGCAGCCACAGCAGAAATGTGTCTTGGAATTTGTTGTTTAGCTCCCGCACCAGCGAGCAACTGATGAGACTCGGCTCCTGGCAGAGTATGTCCTCAATGACTGTGTATGCCTGCGACAAGTTACCTTCGTTCCGATTCACCAGATTATACAGCAGCTTCCACATTTCCTTGCGATGGTTCGCCATTTCGCCAAATATATTTAATAATCAGCAAAATAATCAAAAAAGCAAAAGACCGGCAAAACAGAGTGACCGCGGATATCGATAAAATATACCAAAATATATTGTCTCATGTTTAAAATATACCGCACTGCTGTAGCAGCGCTGCCAGATGAATGTAATTAAGCTGTCTTATTTTTCTTGTGCTTCCTCTTGGGTCGCATAATCTCCCAATACCAATTAACAGTGCCATAGGTTTCTTTGATTCCTCCAGAATAGGTTTCCAGGAATGTCAAGGCTACCCAGTAGACACCCAATGGAATGGAGGATGGTAAATTGTTGGCCTCAAACACCATGTCGCGAGCAAAGAGATGACCCTGAAAAAAGTTTAGTTTGGGGTTATTCCGTTCAGTGGGGTGAATTCTATGCTGCTAGTTACAACAAAAGGACAAGTGTGGTTGGCGTTCGTGAACTTTTTCAATGTTCTCCACATCACTAGGCCGTAGGGTATAAAAGACTTTCCAGCTATGAGGTCGCACGCTTTAAACGAAATGTTGACCAGAAATGGTTTATACTGGTCGGTATAATCCTTTTTATGAAGCTTTATATGCACCTGCAAGTAGATGTCTCTTCTCAGATACCATTCGCTAGAAAGGAGTAGATTTTTTCTTACGGTTGGATTCCTCAGCGGTTCTATGAGATGACAGTCCATTTGCACAAGCGATTTCTCCCAGCTCAGGTCTTTGACGTAGCATGTGACATTTTCCACAAACTTTGGATTGGGTATGCAATCCATTTTTGTGGATTTGAGTACCAAATCGGATGCAAATCCCTGTTGGTGTGTGTGTCAGCATCAGACAGATTCAATGAGTGGAAATATAATATATATTACCCTGGAGAAAACCAACAACAAGCAGAAAAGAACCTTCATCTTCACAAGCAAACTAGCAACTGAAAGAGCAAACTTTTAGCCCTAATTGGCTTCTAGCCTAACTATCTAATGACTTTATAACAAGTCAAAATTTTCCACTCATAATTAGGGTGATAATCAACCCATTTCCAGCCATTTTCCAAACATGGTGGTTGCCTAATGTCAACTGAGCGTAATGCGCCATATTGGGATTGAACTGCCAGCTGTGGGAGGGCTGAGACGGCAACACGCCGTGGCAGTAGTTCCTCCTTGCCAGCTTCGTGTATATGGGGATGAGCAGCGCCTTCTCCCGAATCAGTGAGCAACTGATAACTTATCATTTTTTAAATATACCGCACTGCTGCATATTGTAGCAGCGCTGCCAGATAATTGTAATTTGCGGCGCCTATCGCTGTATCGCAATATCGTACGAATCGTTGAGGATATCGGTAAATTCAAATTCAAACTTTATTCTTCTTGGGCTTCCTCTTGGGTCGCATAATCTCCCAATACCAATTAACAGTGCCATAGTTCGCTTTGCTTCCTCCAGCATAGTTTTCCAGGAATGTAATGGTTACCCAGTAGACACCCAATGGAATGGAGGATGGTAAATTGTTGGCCCCAAACACCATGTCGCGAGCAAAGAGATGACCCTGAAAAAAGTTTAGTTTGGGGTTATTCCGTTCAGTGGGGTGAATTCTATGCTGCTCGTTACAACAAAAGGACAAGAGTGGTTGGCGTTCGTGAACATTTGCACTGTTCTCCACATCACTAGGCCGTAGGGCAGGGAAGTCTTTCGAGCTATCAGGTCGCACACCTTAAAGGCAACGTTTACCAGAAATGGTTTATATTGGTCAGTGTAATCCTTTTTATGCAGCTTTATGCGCGTCTGGAAGAAGATGTCTCTTTTCAGATATTATTCGCTTAAAGATTTCAACTCACAGTTGCATTCCTCAGCGGTTCCAAAAGAGTACAGTCCATTTGAACGTGCGATTTGTCCCCACCCAAGTCCTTGACGTAGCATGTGACATTGTCGACATATTTCGGATTGGTTTTGCAATCCATTTTTGTGGATTTGAGTATCAAATCGGATGTGCATCCCTGTCAGAGTGTGTCCTTGGAGTTAGATTGATACAATTAGTGGAAAAATATTAAATGTTACCCTTGTGAAAACCAGCAACAGGCAGATAAGAACAATCATTGTCACATGCAAGCTAGAAACTGAAAGAGCCAACTTTTGGCATTCATATTTTTTTAGCCTAGTGAACTAATGACTTTATAATGAGTCCAAACTTTCCACTGATAAGTACAGTGCTGATCAATTTCAATGTTAGTGTAGTTCAGCAGACCAAACAGCTGTACGATGCTGTTGAAAGATAAAATTATAGGTTGTGGCCTACGGCACAGATATTGATTGCATTCTGAATAAATTAATTTTAAAATTGATTTGACGCGGGCGACATGAACGATTAATGGTGCTGCCATACATTGATGGGTTTTGAAGTATCGAATTCCAGAAACGGTGGAACTGCATATCGATACTATATCCAATCGTTATCGTTCACAAGTTTGTTGACATTTTGCTGTTGCTGTTTTTCTACGCTTTTCTGTTAATTCGCTGTAGTTTCTTATTTGTGGGAGGAGTTCGCCTCGTTTGAAAGAATTCCAGTTCCTTGGCGACGGCCAGCTTAATGGTTCATGGCTAACCGCGATGTTTTCTCGAAAATACTGCCAAATGTCAAGTTGGCCACTCGCTACGATGAAGACGGACGCGAAGTTCAGGTAAGTTCTGAGCCTGCGGCAATGGAAAGCGTTTTCGTAATGCTCATTCTTGTTGCTGTTCAGGTGGAGCGACGCGAAGACTCCGATGCAACGGCAAAGGAACAGGACACCTTTGACATACTCGTAGCCGCCGGCTACTATCGCGCCCGCATCAAGGGCCTGTCCGCCTTCGACAAGGTTGTGGGCGGCATGACTTGGTGCATCGAATGCTGCGATTATGACGTGGATGTGGATCTGCTCTTCCACGAGAGTCTCTCCATAGGACAGAAAATGTAGGCAGTAACCCTCAGAATTTCATGGGACACATTGTGATATTTCGAGTATATTTTCAGCGCCCTCGTGGAGAAGATTGTTGCGGTGCTGATCGATATGAAGTGTCCACATAGCTTGGAGCCGCATCAGGTGCAGGGTCTGGAGTTTCTTGCCATTCATCCCGTCATCCAGTGGCTAGTAAAGACCTCGGTAAAAGCATTTTGCAGCGATTTGTAAACGGAAATCAAGAAAATCCTTCCCTTTGCAGGTGGAAAATCGTGCAGTTCGCGGGCAGCGCTTGAAGAGATTTGCCATTGGGGAGTTCCACAATCATTATCAGTATAAAAGCGACAGGGATAATCTGACCAAAATACGCCTGGCCTCCGCCAACATAAAGAACATTCAGGATCTCTACAGCCCATTCAGGATGTACAAACGCCAGGAGGCCGCTGACGATGATGAAGTAACGCGGGTGCGCCTCACGCTGCTCGAGTACGGAGATCCAGGGCCAATGTTCAAGGCAAGCACTGGCCGCAAGGCAGCGTCGGCCGAAGAAGAGGGTAATCAGGTGAGATAGAACGAATTTTGGTTATAATTTTGCTCTGAAATGACTCCCCCAGCAGATGGAGCAACTGGAGCAGTACCTGCGCAGCCTATCGCTGGCAAAGGAAGCATTTTCGGGCACTCAGAAACGCATAGATCTGGATCCTACGGCACGGCATGCCCTTCAGCAGCACTATGCTGAGTTCAAGCTTGAGATGGAAACGGATACTCAGGAACTGAAGGCACAAAATCAACAGAAGCGCCTGGAGGCAGCCAAGATTGCCCTGGAGCACAAGGTGAAACGCTTCTGCAGGGATAACGAGCAACTGGCCGAGGCGGAAAAGGTGCAGAGCCAGAAAACAGGCGAAAAGGAGGAGCTGCTCCAGGCGCTGAATGCGGAACTGAAGGCGCACAAGGAAACGGAAGCGCGTGCGGATCCAAAGTGAGTTGGGAGAAGGTTTTGACTGGTTTTTTCTGATAAAGAGTGTTCCTTGGTTATCCCTTTAGTCTGCTGGAAAAGGTTCAGTCGCTGTTGCGGCAGCACGATGAGCTGAAAAAGAGCGAAGCGGAATTCAAGGAGTCCTGCAGAACGGATTTGGCCCAACTACAGCAACAGATTGAGTAAGTTTTCCTGCCATTCAAGTGTAAAGTAACTAAAAGAAATCTATTTCTTTGCAGCGAACTTGAAGCCTTCAGTGCGCAGGATGCGGAGGCGCAGGCAGCTGCCTTGGCAGGGGAGGAGCAGCGCCTCAAGGATCTGCGACTGCAGCTGGCCAAGCGAAATCGCGGCATTGTGGCCATTGAACGCAAGCTGGACGCAATACCCGACCGCACAGAGCTGGCCCAGTACCAGCGACGCTTCCACGAGCTCTACAACGAAATGAGTGCCAAGCACTTGGAGACAAAGCAATATTACATACTGTACAACACGCTTAACGACAAGAAGCGCTACCTGGAGAAGGAGCTGACAATGTTGAACTCCATCTGTGAGGCCTACAACGAGGGCATGATGAGTCCCCATGGCAGGGAGGACTTTATACGCCAGTTCGAGACGATCGTCGATGGGGTGAAGAGTGCCCAGGACAAGGTGCGTCACAAGTACAATGAGGAGCGCATGCGGCGGGACGAGCTCAACGAGGAGCTGCAATCGCTGCTCGAGCTGCAGCGCCAGTACGCCACGGCCGTGAAGCAATTGACACGCGAGTGCCAGCGCTGCGACCAACTGCAGCAGCAACTCAAGTCAATTAGAAGTAGGACGCAGTCCTAGCCCCCCAGCAATATGACATTTAGTTATGGCTAATCCGTGCGGCAGCCACTGCGTGCCGACGAACGACAACCGACGACCGACTATCATTCCTCCCAACCGAGAAGGGCCTCGCGCAATTACTTAGTAAAGTTGTTCAATAAATTATGTCTCCGTAATTGTAGTGCCATTATCTGGGAATTCGTTTGCTGACTGAGTGGACCCCAAGGATTCCCCCCACCGGTTGCGGGATCAAGTGCTGCCCCATTTGTCATGCTTAACTTTAACCTTTGGCAGTTTCACATATCTTTACATGTGTATTTATGTCACTTTGGGTGCCTGCTCGTGGGTCAGCGCAGTTTATTTCCATGTGGAGATGGAGCTGCCAGCGAATGGCATTTGCATATCTGCAGGGGTAGAGCAATGCAAATTGCCACCGCCACAGCACAAGCTCTCTCGCACTCGCTCCCTTTCAATTCATTCCATTCAATTTGATTCTCCAATTAATATGCGGGCCGCTTAGTGCCACGCAGCGCAATCAGAGCCACTTCAGATGGTGCCCCGAAGGAGAGAGACAGCGAGTGGGGCATGCCCCAGCTGACTGTGCCTTTCTGTTAATTAATGTCCTTGCACCTTAACATTGAATTCAAGCTGAGCAATTGCAATTACACTTTATTGCGTGGCAATCAATTCCATTCAACAAGTGACATTGAGACAGAGAAATACTCTTCTAGCTGACCCTCCTGCTGCACCTGCTGGCTCCCTGACTGACTTACTCTCATGGCAGAAACCTTCGACCAGCTGCAATGGGACATTTTTAGCATACATCTAGCACAAATATTTAAAGCGAAACCAAACAATGTGTGTGTGTGTTTGGATTGAGCCATGAGCAAGACACTCGATGGAGTCCTTGACAGAGAGACTTGACTTGACTCGTCTCGGCTTCGCTTCGCTTCGCTTCGCTTCTGGTGTCCATTGTGATAATGAGAAGGAGCGCCGTGCCCTGCTCTAAATACCTTATCACACCGTGAACACACCACACACACACACACACACCTAAATATGTACACTTGGAGCGCCCAGCCAGGCATGTCGTAGAGTGGGAGTTGGTGTTGCGTTGGAGGTCGAAGTTCCATGACTTTTCCCTTCGGCAAAAGTGAAAGGAAAAGGCCATGGGGGCTCGAGATCCCGCGTTTCCTCATTTATATTTGCTCTGGCATTTGCACCCACACCCCCAAACCAAACACACACCCCCACACACTCACACACGCTACAACAAAGCAAAGAGAGGGAGAAACACACACGCACGAGGAGGAGGAGCATAAGCCTTGACAAAAGTCAATCAGCATATTTGCTCGATTGGGTGGGATCCAGGGAGGGAGGAGCATGCCAAGCGGATAATCGATTCATTCGAAATGTGTTTGAATAACAAATTACTGGAAATTGTGAATGCGAAAGTCATTGTGGCACACAAATCTATACGGAGTATATACGGGTGGGTAAATGGAAACGTTTTTGGGCTGTCAATGTCGCCAGATTTCGCTGGATATGTCTCTGCATGCTGTGACAGGATGTCGACGGCACGTATGCTCATCCAGCGCCAGCTCCTGACTGTCTGCAGCGTGAACCACTTGTTGGCTTGGCTGCTTTGGTGACTGAACTCTTATCTCGAACTATTGAACTTTGGTGGGCGCAAACAATGAACTGGCAACCCAACCCCCTCCTGTATCCGTGGGCAAAAAGCAATAATACTCGGCCGCAGATGTTAGTTCGTGTGGGATAAGGAAGGGGCAACCACAGAACACAGAGAACTTGAATCGTATTTCCGAGCCATTTAAATAATCACCCTGACTCGAAGGCTGCTTCGATTTTGGGCAAGTGTCAGTGCACCTTTGGTAAACAAAGAGTGGAGTGCCCTCCGGCCAATGGCATGCATCCACATGACAACATACATATGCCGCAGACAAGTTTAAATCAAGGCACAGTAAAGGATGCATTAATCAACTTCAGCAATGAACCAAAGTGCCCCCCCCCAAGAGCAGCAACAGGACTCGACCCTAATCTGACCCAAACCCCGCCACGCTGCCATCAATTTGTCAATGTGTCACATGCGGAGCGGCGGTCTATGATCGGCCGAAAGGAACATTCGTTCAGAGCATTGATTTAATTAATTTATGTTGTGTCCTCACGGCCCTGGCAACAGCCGACGCCAGCAGACGCTAGACCCGCCACACGGGTGGCAACCCTGGCCAGCATCTTCCATTCAACAGGTCTGCCGCCAGCTTCCGTCGTGCAGGCAGAGAGCTTTCGGCGAAAGCTCGCGCACGCAGGCATGAATGAAAAGCGTCGCTGGACAAACAAACGGTACACCGAAAGGGGAAGCGAGACGCTGATGTGTTCTGTCTTCGTTCTCGGCAACGTTCGGCGGCTGCTGCTGCTGCTGCTGCTGCTGCTGCAGCAGGCTGGCTGGCTCTCATTGCTCCGCTAACCAGGCACTCGAACGCACACGCCGCGGACGAACTCCATCCTTCCCCATCCGACACTGGGATCTCGGGATCTCGCCTGGCGCTTCGCTCCGTTTTGCTCCGCGATTTGTGCGCGCGGGGGCGAAATCATCGTTTCATTTGAATTTTTATTCAATAAAAAAGTGCACAAAAGAAAGAGAAAATTCATAATAAAAAACAAAACACAAACAACAAAATATAAGAATAATAATAATAAAACGAATAATCCTAAAGCTACAAATGTAAATGGTACAGTACCCATTCCGTTCGCTAAGCGTCCGTCTGTCTGTCTGTGTGTGTGAGTGCTTCAGTGTGTGCTAGTGAGTGTTGCTGGAAATATGCAAAGATTGGCGCAAGTTTGCGAGGCGTAAAAATATTCAAGTTTCATGTGCAAATTACTGCACGCATTTTTAAATAATCAAATGCCAGCGGAACAAGTGTACAAGTAACCGGGAGAGAGGAAGGAGGCAGGCAGTCAGGCTCCTCTCAAAGCTCTCGACACATAACGAAACGCGAGCCACGAGGCATCTGCTAATAGGATTACGCATCACCTCCGTTCGCCAACCGACAGTTGTCCGGATTAGCAAACACAGCCAGAGAGCAGCCTCAAGTACCCATCTTGGTTCGAGGTAACAGATTAAAAGGTGCTTTACGCGGACAAACCACAGAGTCCCATCCGATCCGATCCCATCCCATCCCGTTGCACACTTTCAGCACTTTCAGCACTGCCCTGGGGCGTGCATGCGGATATCTCTGGCTAATTGTTAACTCATAGCCAGAGAGGACACATAAACAACTTGGGGCCATATTAATTGGCATTCGGTATCAGTGGGGTCGCAGGAGGAGCAACGAGCAGCAAACTCCATAAATATCACATTTTATTAAACAAAACCCGAATCCATTTGCGTTATTGCGCTTACGTGCACGAATGTTAATTGAAGCCGCTCACCTTTTGTGGGGCAGCCACCAGCCGGAGCACCTCCAGCCAGCAGATTATGGCCGGCAAACCACCAAAAACAGATTAGATAAGTCGTCGATTGGTGGCTCGAGTTATTAGCGAACAAAGGAGAGCGCGCTCGCGGGAGGAGGGACTGTTGATGACGAGTCAAGTGGCAATGCCAGAGAGGATACACACACACATGTGTGTACAATATGTCTCTGTATGTGTGTGTGTGTGTGTGTGTGTGGCATAAATGAATATTCATAATGAGGCGCCAGTTACACATTTCCCGTCGAAGCATGAAAAGCAAATTACGCACAAAATAATTGACATTAGCATATTTTGTGCATCCTGTCTCTGGCTGTGTGTGTGTGTGTGTGTCCTGGATATCCTTTGTGCAAAATGTCTTTCAGCTTAAAGAGTGCTCCCCTCTGCGTGTTTTTTGATTGAACTTGAAAGCGGTTCCTCCCCCCACGGCGCACAGGGCGCATACGTGATGTGTCTAAGCGGATTAAAGTCCAATAGCAAAGTGGTTGAGTGTGCTGCTGCTGCTGCTGCTGCTGCTGCTGCTGTGGCAGTGTTTTATATTGAATAAACATCCTTGGCTGTAGCAGAACGCTGCGGGAAGTTCTAATTGATCCTCGCCACCAGCTGGGGCGGCTCCTCGCAGCTCTCATCGAACGCCGGAAATGGCCAAAAAGAAAAGCGGGTAAATTTTTGTTCAATATGGACATGTGTTCACTTACTTACGGGGTGTGCGGACTTGGACAATCATAATCCCCCCACTAACCGAGGCTGGGAAGTGTAAACGATTCCTGCGGGGCATAAACATCACACGCTTACTGGCTCGCTCTCATCTCTCTCTCTCTCTCTCTCTGTGTGTGTTTGTGCTTCACAGCACCACTTAATCATTACAAATGAGCCACACACACACACACACAGGAACACACACTCCATGCCGCACAGTGGGCCACATTTATGGCTGCTCGTTAGCAATTCGAGTTGTGGCAAGCAAAAAAGCAGAAAATAAACCCGCAAAAGAGGAAGTTGAAGTTTGTGGCCAGTGCGGTTTGTGTTTGGTTAATTGCCAAGAATTTTAGCTGCAAGCCACGAACTTGGGCTTGGGTGTGCCCTTCTTGATTGGCTTCAGCATGGGTCAACGTGGGGAAGCTGCAAACATGTTTGCCGCAAAGTGGCTGGCCAAAAGTTACCTCCTGCCGAGCCAAGTCGAGTCTTATCTGGCACGAAAAATGCTTGCAGCTGAAGTTGATAAATGGACTTTGTTTGAATTTATAGCTAAAAATCGATGCCACCATTTGAATTGCTCTGAACAGAGAGACCAATTTTTCGGAGGCGAGACAATGGACCAATTCCCTGGTCAAAGACCCTCCCTGACTCATCGAGGGCTTCCCCCCACGCAACAAGAAAAAATTGCACTTAAAATTGAATGCTCTCCAAGGCGGGAGGAGGAACGTGCAAGCCGGCGATAATCTATGGCATCAAATCACGCGACAGTAAACGCTGCTGCTGCTGACTGCAGGCAGACAAAGAACGGGACAAAGGATCAACTGCAATTTTCGGGGGTTTTTCGGTGGCCCTGGTGGCCTTTGTGGCTGCCACTCGAGTGGAAATGACATCAAGAAGTTCGGTTCGTTTTGATTATTAGCCATTTGCATTTGCATTTCCACTTGCCACTTGCCACTTGCCATGACTCACAGCTGCAGCTGCTTAGCTACAGATAAAGATGCAGATACATAGATACAGATACATATCTATCTGTAGCTGTGTGCAGACATTTCTTGTGCTCCTCTGGCAGCTAGTATTTATCATTTTCGCATCATTAGCTTTGTGTTGATGCTGCTGGCATGTGAATTGGATTTGGGGTTTCCTATCGGCAGCGAGAGATAGATGCAGATTGAGACAGCGAGATTGGCAGCCACTGAAATGATTGGGAAAACGCCCGAACGCATCCGGAGCTCTTCTGCCACTTAATCAAAGTTTAATTTGCCATCAAGAGTGTTGTAGTCCCTGCTGCCTGCCACATGCACAAACTTGCTCGTGCCACTTTTGCTGTTGCCTACCTTGAGGGGCACTTAAAAATGTCGAGCCACAGAATGTGTTTTGTAAGCCAACCGTTTTTATGCTTAATTGCTTAATTACTGCAGCCCCCCATCCGCCACTAAGCGGCTGCCATTTATGCTTGCGTCTCTCTCTCAAACTGTTTTATGACCCAGCGGGCGAGGGAAGACAAGCCCCGCCTTTACGACCGCCCCGAGTGCGCCGCTGCGGTTGCGGCAGGAGCCCGAACACAATTGCCGTCAAGCGACCGTTTAGGCACTTCAGACAATAACTTTAACTTGCACTTTAATCCCCACCTTAACTTCCCCCTTAAACTTTAACTTGAACTTCCAGCTGATGATGTTTTCATCCTTCTATTACTTTCCGCTTTTCTGCTGGCACGCATTCCCTTGCAGACTTCGTCCTTGAGAATGTGTTCGTGCCCTGCGTAGTCGCATTCCAGCAGTTGACACACAGCTCCACCATGTGGACCTACATGATGGCTGCCGCCCGCGGAGATCGGGTCAACACAATGATGTCCACCAGAAGACGCCCCGAAACGGAGTCCCCCAAATACGGTTACAAGTAAGTAAAGACAGCAGACAGCAGACAGCAGAATGATTGCTGTACTTACATGTACATGTCTGTGCCCTTCAGCCTCTCCTCCCGTCCCATGTACCGCACCACGCGCTTTGTGGGCACCGCCAGCTCAGCGCCCGCCCAGCTGCAGCTGCAGCTGCCGCATCAGTCGCATCAGCAGCAGCATCAGCAGCAGCCGCTCGAGGAGATTAGCGGCGGCTTGTTCGCTCCATTTGCGCCAACGGCAGCGATTTCTGTTGAGCAGGCAGCCAGCTCGATTCCCTTGGGAGCGGATAACGACGAGCGCCTCGAGGTGCATCAGCTTCATTATCCACGCCGCAGTTGGCAAAGGAGAAGCCATCGCCATGGCAATCAGAGAGCAGCAAATGACGACGAGGATGATGATGATGATGATGATGACGATGACGATGATGATGAGTTTGGCGAGGCCGATGGCGAGGACAACGACAACGACAACCGGGAGGAGGCCATTGCACCAGCTGACCTTCAGCAGCATCGCCAAAAGCACCAGCAGCAACAGCAACACTCCAGCAGTGATCCCAGCTACGTGGAAAATGGCAGGAAACTGATACAGGTGAGGCGCATAAAAGGAAATTCACATAACTATTCCATCAAGGCATACAAATAACTCGATTGGGACTCAGATAAACGCAGATAAACGCTGGCATCGATAAGCGACACCGATTATGGTCTCGGCCAGCATTCAATTATGTGGAAATCTAATTAAGTAATTGCGATAATTGATTGACTCCACCGCTGGCTGCAGGCAGGAATTGGCCCTGTTTCGGGTCATGCTCTGACTCCCTTCGCTTCGGGCAAACGCAAATGAACTGCGAAAACCTTCATAAACTTGACCTTGCCAGTGAATCGCGTTTTAATTACTTCCTCTATTGTCACGTAGCCCAGGCAGCGCCGCAAGCAGTCGCCCAAGCAGTCGTCCAAGCAGTTGCCCCTCGCCCCAAGCAGTCGCCCATTGCCCGTTGAATGCCATTTTCGGCTACCCGCAGCAATTTTTATTAGCACGTGTCAATCGACTTAAAACACAGACAAAAAGAATAGGAGAGAGGGAGAATTATTGAAGAGGTTTTGCTAAGCAAACAGCGGAATGCTCTAATAAGGAGTTTAGAAATTTAAATATGCTTAAAGGAAGAGTTGAACGCGTCTTCCAAACTATACGAAAACCGACTGCAGACTTGACTCTGTTATGTTTACAGTCTTCAGGCGTTGAGGCATTTAGACAAATTCTACTAATAGCTTAAAGTTTCTGCTTTTAAGGGGGGGGGGGATTCAGGGGTAAGCCGGTTCTCAGTCACCGGTAACCGAAAACTGGCCCATCTTTAATCTGTTTCCTCGTTGTTCAAAGCAAACAACTCTTGTTTGTACATCCCATGTGTTTGGTGCAGTTTGCGCTTCCTCTGCAGCCTTCATTGGTTAGTCCGGCCCACGTCCTGTCGAGGATAATTGCATTACTTGGGTTTCCCCCTTGTAAGTGCCAGCTAGGAAACAAGACACTCCGATCTGTGCCGTGCCAATCTGGGCACTTCCTTTGACCCGCAGGACTATAAATAAGTGAGTGTGTATTTTGGTCGAACGTCCAGCTGGGGCTGGAGGAGCTCCAGCATGGAGATGGGAATGGGTGGCGGGCGATTCGACAGTTGGCGCTGAGCAGCTGCTGCTCAGAAGAGCCCAAAGAGAGCGGGGGTGGTCAGCCAAGGGCAAAAGACAAGCAATTTGACAGATAAGAGAGTCGAGTACAAGTCTAGTAGCCCCTCAAAGTATATGAAATGGAGGCACCAGAAGCTATAGCAGAAACACAGAAACTGTTTCAATGTCATTTCATAAATGGCCCGATAGGAAACAGAAAACAGCAAGAGAACACAGCAAAGCCAATGCCAATACAAAAAGCAACGGAAAAACGCAATGAAATAAATACAAATGAAAAGCCCTCAAAGCCTTCAGCCCTGCCTCCGCCCGCATGGCACCGCTGTCGACGACCAAATATTGGCTTGGCTCTGTCTGTCCTGGCCTGTCCTTGTCTGTGGTTGTTGTTAATGCTTTTGAGGTGTGTTTCCAGTGTTTGGCCAGCAGGAGAGCTGAGAGAAAAAGCCCCCAAACTGCCGCCATTGTGGTTACATAAAGGTCCATTACTCAAAATGGACTGCCAGGACATCACGGACAGGGACAGGAGCAGGGACAGGGACAGGGACAGGGGATGGGTGGAAACTTTATAGAATTGGCATTGAAAATATGACAAGTCTCGTGCCAATCTAAAATAGTTACAAGTTCTTCAAGTTGAACAGCCTCGACCTCGGACCACCCTGTCATCAGGGGCAGGAGTCAGAGCGCCATTAAACCGATTAATGAACTCTATTTGCCCGGCCGTACCTACACACACACAGAGATGGCTGTTGGCTCAATTGTTTAACCATCCATTGGCATGATGATGGTACGAGTATTCCGTAGCCGGGTGTGCAATTTGAGAAGGCGGCAAGACACTCAACACGATGATGGCACACAGGGCGAATGCGACAAACGGGACAAAGAGTGGGATGGATGGACAGATGGACGGACCTCTAGAATAAACAGCAAAAAAGTGCGGGGAGTCTTCTCTCTTTCTCCTTCTCTTTCTCTCTGTCTCTGTCTGTCGCTTCTCCGGGACATTCCGCTTAGTCAAATTCATTTTTTTTGCGCCATCGACAGTTGGGTAAAAAACGCGTTCGCAGTCGGCAGCTTAGCTCCTCAGCAAGCAGCGCAAAACTCTCTCCAGCAATACATAAAGTACAAGTCAAAACGTGAAAGAGGATAGATAATTTGAATTGTTGTAAAATAATGTCAAATTCGCCCGCTAACGCGTTCGGTAAACAATCGAAAACAAGGCTTCAAATTTGAAGCAACAACAGGAACATTCGACAAGTGGATTTCCATATTGATGAGGGTCTGCCTCTCGTCTGTCTCTCTGCTCGTACTCGTGCGTAGCGGCGCAACTGTAAAACAATTGCGAAGAAGGAGACAACGCGGCAGCAGCAGCACAAAGCAGAACAGTCAGGAGTTGCGTGGGCGAGAGAGAGAGAGAGCGAGAGACAGTCAAACGGGACATGCGTTATCGTTTAGCTCTGCTGCCCTCTGCCCCCCCTTCGCAACACCACAATGGCCAGAAATCAGAGGGCAGTTATGAGCATTCAATCTGCGCCACAATTTGCATAATTTCCCACGTTCCCATCCAAATCACAATCAAAATAAATAACAAACTACTCGTAGGCCAATCCATTGCAGTTCCATTTCGCCCATTGCGAGTGTATCAATAACCAATAAGCGATAACGTGCGAAAGGGTAAAGGCAAAACCTTCGAATCAATCAAGTGATAAGATACTAAAAACGTTGTTCATCATCCATTAGAATGTTTTTCCCCTCCCCCAAAAGTATCAATCAATATTTGTAAGGGGATCCAATCCAGCACATGGCTACGGCTTTAGCTGGTTTTAATGGAACAAAAGTCCACGTTATCCCTGGCTAGTGCTGCTTACACCCACGATGAATGCTTGTATGGCGTCAGTTTGCTGTGCTTTGGGTATTTATTTTCTCAATTAGAGTGCAGGTACCGCAAAACAGCTGCCCCTCTCTCCACCCACTCCTACGACTTTCACAAATACACACATACGCGTGCGTTTTGGTATTTTTCAACTGCTTGTTTGGTGGTGCAGCAGCTGTTGAGTCTCTCTACTGGGCTTAAACGGCACTCTCTCTGCCCAAAAGCTTGAATTAGGAATTTCAATAATAATTAGTTGAGTTTACCGATCTTTAATCGAATGTTTGGCACTTTTAGTTCTGCTTTAAAGAGTACCCACAGCTTCACAGCCACCTTTCTGCTCTGCTTTATTTCATACCAACAGCATAAAAAAAGCTTACTCATGCACGCGTGCATTAAACATCGCTATGAAAATGCTTGATTTGCTTAGCATAAAACGCTTCCCCCATGGGGTGGGGGGTACTCACAATTATGGAAATTTATTGTGCAGCTCCAGCGTGGTCTTTGTGGCGTGAATGCCAATCAGGTCTGCCTTTGCCTCTGCCTCTAGTGTGCCTCTGCTGACGGTGCTTTTTGATGGTGTTTGGCCGACGCCTGGGTCAGAGTTTCAATTTCGATTTACCTCTCGAATTTCGCGTAACCTTCGCAAATGGCCAACTGTTGCCTTGACTCAGCGATGAGCTCATCGGAAATTAAATACAAAATGTATTGAGCTGCAGGGAAATCTATCACAGCCAACCCATTGGCTGTTTTGTCAACGCAATTGCAATTAATTTATGCAAAAGTGCGTTTAGTTGTTCTCAGTATTTGGCGACCGGTATCCGGCGCAGCCTTTCAGCTTAATTGAAATGATGGCCCAAACAATTAAAAAACATTTAGACAAAATGTCAAAGCAGCGCCAGGCGTCATCAATCTTGTCAAAATGGACACCACCACCCGCCACACAGGTCGTCCAGTCGGTTCATAGTGCGTGGCCAATGAAGGACTCAAGTCGCCTGAGACATCATTGGGCTGAGCCATGTGTACGTTCAGTTGTTTGCGGCTTTTAATTAATTAAAACGCGGCAAACGCGTTCTGGCAATGCAAATTAAGAAAATTGCAAAACAGCATTCGCGTATTGACAACACACAAGCAATGAGGGGAATCGTAGGAGTCGCAACATTTGATACCCTTTTGCGTGTTACTCTTATGACAAGCAGTGGAATATTTGGGGTTCTCTCTCTGGCAGTGATTGCTCTGCCAACCCTCTCCTCAAAGCCACACTACTCTCTGTGGAAAGGGTGTCTGTGTCTATTCTGTATGCCTGTCGCGTGGTTCGGTTCGTTTTGTTTCGCTTCGCTTCGGCTCGATGTCGATGTCAACGTCGCTGTCCGCGGCGCTGCCTTGCCTTCAATGGCAAGTTGCGTGGCAGGCGGGCGGACGGGCGGCACAGTATTAATAAACAGCTTGACGTCGATGTCGACAGGCGCATGCGTGCAGCTTCTGCCCAAAACAAGAAAACTAACGGCTTTGCTGCCTGTTTTCACTGTTATCAACGTTTGTTTTTGTTGTTTTTGTTGCTGTTGCTGCTGTGGTTTTAGGCTAAATTTGGAGAACAATCAAAGTGGAAGTGCTGAAAGTGGAAGTACTTGAAGTGGAAGTGAATTGTGATAAAATCCAACGAAGAAGCAGGCGAAGAAGAAGGCGGAGACGTAGGCGAAAGCGACGACGCAGACGCAGACGTAGACGCTAAAGAGGATTTGTATGCGACATTTCAAAGTCAAAGCCATGGTGCAGTCATTGGATATAGCAGCCATAACGGGACAGCAAACAGATGCGGTAAATCGACATGAAAATAAATACACGGGGAGAAGTTAGGCAAAAGAAGTGGGGAAGAATGTGAATGGAATTATAACATTGAAACAATCGAAAAATGTGCAGAGGAAATGATGTGAAAAATGGAAATGTAGATTCCATCTGGTAATCTTTTTTTTCGCTCCTGTTGCTTTCCACGATCTTCCACAATTCCTTCATCAATATTCTTCACACTGCAACGCTTTTTTTGCCCAGTGTACGGTGCACACACATGCACATGACTGTGTGTGTAAGTGACCTTCGGGGCTTGAAGAAACAGCGGGAGGCGTGGCATTGCAATGTCATTTGCCATTTGCCATTGCTCCCCGGCATAACGCGACTTACGGGTCCGTACGAGTATGAGTCATTTTGTTGGCTTTTCTTTCATTTTGCGCATTGGAAGAGCGCTTGGTGGAGAGATGGTTTAATGGATTAACCGCTGCCGGCGTCTGATAAGCGTTTATTAGCCTGTCAAGAACACGCCCTTAATGGCCACAAGGGGCGCGGGTGTACCACGTGTGTGGGTGTGTGGAGTGCATTCCGTTGGAAGACCCCTGAAGATGCTTCCCTTTCCCCTTTGCTGGCAGACATAACAAAATTTAAGAACAAAACTTGGCTGCTGGCCAACTTTTAATGCGTTTAAAAGAGAGCTTTTCGTGTTCTATGTATGCCCAGCTTCAAATCGTTTCAATTAGCAAACAACTCTAGCAGAAACTTTCGCCTAACTTTCCCTCCCGCCTCTCCCTCGAACAGGAGCCCAGCAAACGGAGCAAACCGTCGGCCTTGCGGCGCACACTACAGGCTTTGAGGCAGCGTCTGACCAAACGGAATCGACCAAAGCCACCGGACTGGTTCCTCGAGAAGTTCTCGAATGCCACCAACACGGACAAGCTGGCCAAGGGCTGTCCCATGATGGACGACGCGGCGCTCTCCAGCGAGATACGCGGCAGCAGTGCCCTGTGCAATCGCCTCTCCGTGGACCCCACACTGCAGTCCCATTACAGGGTAAGTGTGCCACTCAAATAACAACTCGAATCGGAGCTCAACTGCATCTCTGCACCTCTCCAGTGGCTGGCTGTGGTCTCGCTGGCCGTGCTCTACAACATCATCTTTGTGATGGGACGCGCCGTCTTCTGGGAGATCAATAAGAGCGCCCCTGCGGTCTGGTATACGCTGGATTATCTATGCGATTTCATCTATCTGCTGGATATGCTGGTACACATGCACGAGGGTAAGTTAACTGACATCCACCCAGCTCTCCGTTCCCCGTTCCCCTCCTCCTGTGCGTGTTTGAGATTTACCTATGCAAATGAGGCCCAGGAACCAAGCGAATCACTCGCTTTAAGCCCCGCCTCAGACAATGGCAATGGGAATGCTGTCGGCAAAGCCATTTGCCACGCATATGAAACCCATTTCAGTGCCACACGAAGCACACATGTGTGCTTGCATGTGTGTGGCAGGGTAGGGAGGAGGTGGAGGCGTGGTTGAGTTGCCAAATGCAGGGATAAGCCAGCCTTGACATTTCCCACAATGGCAACAAATGCTCTGATACCCTGCAGTGGCGACTGCCCGCCGTCTGCTGTTAACCCCATTAATCTCCACATTTGGCTTATCTTAGGGTATGCCCAAGTCGTGCCCTGTAAAATATTCCACTGCGTTAAAGCTGGCAAAAAGGCACGAAACCTGAAACAAAAGAAGCAACGAGCAACCTTGGTGGGGGGGGGATTCACATCTCAGAGCACAAACCTTAACCTTAAACTTTTTCTTATTGTCTCGCAGGATTTCTGGACCAGGGTCTGCTCGTGCGGGATGCGTTCCGACTGCGCAGGAACTACTTTCACACGAAGGGCTGGTACCTGGACGTGCTGTCGATGCTGCCCACGGATCTGGCGTACATCTGGTGGCCACCGGAGACCTGCAGCAGCCTGTACCTGCCCTGTCCGGTGATTGTGCGACTGAATCGCCTGCTGCGCATGAATCGGCTCTTCGAGTGGTTTGACCGCACGGAGACGGCCACCGGGTATCCGAATGCCTTTCGCATCTGCAAGGTGGTGCTGGCCATTCTGGTGCTGATCCACTGGAACGCCTGCATGTACTTTGCCATCAGCTACGAGATTGGCTTCAGCTCCGACTCGTGGGTCTACAATCTGAATGGCACGCGGAACAACACGCTGCAGCGGCAGTACATCTACAGCTTCTATTGGTCCACCCTGACCCTCACGACCATCGGAGAGACGCCCACCCCAGAGAACGATGTGGAATATCTGTTTGTGGTGGCAGACTTTCTCGCTGGTGTTCTCATCTTTGCCACCATTGTGGGTAAGTGCCAGTCTGGGTTGCCCTTTTTGGCTGCGGTCTATGTTTGCCTTTCGCTCGTTCTTTCGTTCATTGTTGACGCAAAACATTTTCCCTGATCGTTTAATTGGTTCTTGCAGCGTCACATCTGCGGGGGGGTACATCAATGGGGTATTAATTTACAGCCACGCACGTCAGGGTCTCGACCCACACGTACACGGGGTCCCAATCGATCCATTGTGACATCCCTCCATCGCTCCATCGCTCCATCGCTCCATCCTGCAGCCTCTTCACATTATTCATTACGCTTTCAGTTCTTCCTTTTTGTTCAAGTTTGTTTTGTTTTGGTTGTTGGGTTGATTTGTTGCTGTCGCACACTTCCCCGCTCCTTTTCTTTTTGGCAAACGTGCCTTTTTATCATTTTTGTCGTTGCCCTTATCGCTGCCATTACCGCTCAGAGATGGGCAGCATCAGCAGCTGCCAGACTTGTCCTCGACCTCATCCTGTGACTGTGCAAACAAATTTACTTACTCAATGATGAATGTCGAGTTCGTTTGGACAGGCACCACACAACATGTCACACCACAGCAGCAGACTCCCACAACAACTGTCTGTCACTGAGCACCGGAAGTGCCGCCATTAGTCCGCCATTGTGTGCCCGAAGTCCACAAGTGACATGGCAGCTTGCTGCAGGGTAATACTCACCTCTAATACTCCTTCTGCCCTTTGTGCCACCCCCAGGTAACATTGGTTCCATGATTTCCAACATGAATGTCGCTCGTGTCGAGTTCCAGAACCGCATGGATGGCGTCAAGCAGTACATGGCCTTTCGGCGTGTGGGCCACGAGCTGGAGGCGCGTGTCATCCGCTGGTTCGCCTACACCTGGTCCCAGAGTGGGGCGCTGGATGAGGAGCGAGTGCTGGCCGCGCTGCCGGACAAGCTGAAGGCGGAGATTGCCATCCAGGTGCACATGGACACGCTGAAGCAGGTGCGCATCTTCCACGACACGGAGCCGGGCCTGCTGGAGGCGCTCGTGCTCAAGCTCAAGCTGCAGGTCTTCAGCCCCGGCGACTACATCTGCCGCAAGGGTGATGTGGGCAAGGAGATGTACATCGTGAAGCGGGGCAAGCTCTCTGTCGTGGGGGACAATGGCGTCACCGTGCTGGCCACCCTGGGCGCTGGCTCCGTCTTTGGGGAGGTGTCCGTGCTGGAGATTGCCGGCAATCGGACGGGCAATCGACGCACCGCCAATGTGCGCTCCCTGGGCTACTCGGATCTCTTCTGCCTGGCCAAGCGGGATCTCTGGGAGACGCTGGCCGACTACCCGGAGGCACGCTCCACCCTCACCCAACGCGGCTGTCAGCTGCTGCGCAAGGACGGCCTCCTGGACGAGCAGATATTTTCAGGTGAGGCTTAACTACTCCTCCACTGGGAGCTTCTTTTAATGCTCTTAATCTCCATTGCAGACTCTCAGCGCGTGCATGACAGCATAGAGGGTGGCATCGAGAAGTTGGAGCTGTCCGTGGAGAACCTCAACATGCGACTGGCTCGACTCCTCGCCGAGTACACGGCCAGCCAGGCCAAGATCAAGCAGCGTCTGGCCAAGCTGGAGATGAAGTGAGTATTGCTTGGGATTCCCTTCGAATTCCTCTGCTCATTCTGTGCTTTCCCTTCCCCAGTGGCCCTGGCACTTGGCGCTTGGAGAGCGAGCCACAGACACGAGCCCGCAGCGGACGCCTCTACTCGCTGCAGCCCAAGCGGCGCCCACGTTCTCGTCCCGACGCGACTGCCAAAAGTGGAGAGGCTGCCAAGCAGAATACGCTCTAAGCTCTAAGCGGGAACCAAGCAAGACCAAACCCCTTCGGCCCCAAGAGCGCAGATAGGAGGAGCCCGAGACCGAGTCCGAGTCCTTTTTGGCCAAGGGCCAAAATTGTAGTTTAAAAGTCAAAAGTTTACGGGGAAGGTAAATCAATTTTTAATTTTTTACAATTAGTTTGTAGGGGAAAGGCACATGGAATGCGAAAGTGTAGATAACTTTATAAATTTCTAGAATTATTCAAAACTGAATGTGCCTCAAAGTTTGTGTGTGTGTGTGTGTGTGTTAGAATTAAGGGATGAAAAAGAGAGAGAGAGAGAATACACAAAGTTAGCCCCCTTAACCAACCCTATGTACATATGTTAAGTATACATAAAACTAGTCCAATTTTATATGCAGCTAGGCTAGGATCATTTTTTGAAACAAAACTTGATGGATAGATGCGATAGACCAGATACCAAATAACGAACAAAAACCAACAACAATTGACCAACCAGTGACATTGCTGAACAAACTAGAGGGAGTAGTAGAAACGAGAGACGCAGGGGGTTGATCAGTCAGAGCTGCAACCCCTAAAACACACACAGAAGAGAAACAACCCCCCAAACGACTTCAAGGAAAAATGTTAACAAAAAAGCTTACAAAGCTACCAAAAGAAAACACAAAACGAAAGAGGAGAAGGAGAAGGAGAAAGAGTGGAAGAGTGGAAGAGCAAATAAATATAAGTGAAAATGAAATGTATTTTTATATTAGTCGTAGACACATTGAATGTAACTCTGTGTGTACCAGAATGTATGATGATGTACAGAAAGAAGTATGTACCCCTTCGCATATTGTATATTTGTATTCCGTAAGCTACAGCAGAATAAACGAAAATCGAGTCAAGTTATTCGCAAGAAGAGTGAGCGTATGCGGCACCAGAAATATTCCTTCTTCCTCTCCATCCGCTGAGCAGAATAAATGCAAATCACCTCGAGCCTCGCTGAGCCTCCGGTTCCACTCGGATCCTTTGTGCTGCTGGCTCTAATGACATCTTCGAGTGCGTAGACAAGCAGGCCCCCGAAAAAGAAACAACAAAGTAAATAAATGCAGACGCATTGAGGAAAATGACAGCGCGACACGCGTTGCCTTTTTAGGTGCCACATCGACAGTGTGGCGATACGGGGCGTATGAGCAATGTCACAGCCAAAGGAGAAGCCAGAAGAGAGCAGCAGAGCCGAAGGAGTGTCAGAAAAGGAAGCTGGAAGCCATGCGGAACCCCGAAATGCTCGCATCATGCTGTAAGTGCAGTAAAAAATCAATTTTGCCAAAATGTTCAAAAAAGAAACCCCCCGCCCCCCCAAAAAAGAGTGTGGCACGGGGCACAACTCAACTGCCTGACGCCTTTAAAATCACTTTGGGGGCAGGGCACGGACACGGGCACGGGCACGGGCATGAAGCTGATTTTGTCAAACGACGGGGCTGCCTGCCGGTGCAAAATTACTGACAATAAAATGTTGACGCAGTCGAAAGGGCATTATGAATAAACAGGGTGACTCAGGGGCCTGCGAAACTCCGTGCCACATATTGCTTGTAGTTAGTGGCAAACACATTAAGGATTGGATTGAGGAATATTTAATATACTTAAAAGCGGATAAGGTGAGCGCTTTCACCATAGGTGGAGGGGTGGGTAATGTGATTGATTCGAACACCTTGCGAGGCAACAGCCTCCAGCTACCCACTCCGAACTGGGCCTCTTTGTTTGCTTTGGGGGATTCTTGTAAACCAAGGCAAAGGTTTTGACAGCCCTTAGAAGTATTTCCAGTTCCTATCCCCTAGCACCCACTGCTAGTCTACTCACTTTCCAGTAACAAATACAAAAAAACATTCATTCAAATCAAGTAATGGCCGCAAAACAGGAACAGCAAACGGGAATGCGAACGATGCGCTGCCTGCGGTGCCTGCAGGTGGTGGAGTGTTCGCGCTACGACACCGATGCGCTGCTCACACACATCAAGGACGAGCATCCGGAGATCTTTGAGCAGGACAATGATAAGATCAAGAACCTGTACAAGCTAGCCGCCGAGCACGGGGTGAGCGAGGAGCGGGTGTCCCAGATCGGCAAGATGACGGGCATGACCGAGGCGCAGATGGCCGATGAGGCGGAGCGTTGTAAGTGGCGAGGCGATAGTTGGATTAAGTATGAAGTGCCATCTCTAACTCCGTTCATTGCAGACATTGCAAAGCACCCGAGCAGCGGTGGATCCAAAGCAGAGGTTTCTGCAGAGCAGCAATCGGTAGGCAGCAGCAAGCAGCGCGAATGCGCTGCGGCCAAGGCAAGGGCCAATGCCAAAGCCGCTGACAAGACCCCGAATGGCCGACGGCAGTGCTATCGGGCATCGATTGAGCGCTGGATACCCGTGGACGGGTGCCTCTACTGTCCCAGCTGCGGCACGAGCCGCCGGCCGGTGGTCAAGTCCAGGACGGAGGTGATTACCAGCACAGGCTGTGCCGCTTCGTGCGTGATCAGCTGCTGGCCGCTCTGCTTCCTGCCCTGCCTCGTGCCGCCCGAGAACCGGGAGTACCTCTACTGCTCCAACTGCAAGACCTTCCTGGGCATCTACGATCGCGAGAAGAACTGCGTCAAGCCCAGCAAGGAGTTTGTGCCCAGCTCCTGTGTCTGTCCCAAGACTTCGTAGCCAGATAACTGTTTCATGTCTGTGTGCGTTTCAAATTGTTCGTGTGATTAATTATATTTGAAGAGAGAGAGCGAGAGAGAGCTTTCGTGTCAGCTTTCACTTAGTCGATGCAGCAACCATTATTGCCCGTCCGTTGCAGAGGTGAGCACAACGGTTTGTGTTTGTGTTTGCGTTTGCATTTGTGTTTGCTTTTGTGCTCGCACTTGCAGCCAGGCGTGTGTTTCATCGGCATCCTTGTAGGCCTGTTGCTTCACTAGCTCCGCCTGCTGGTCCCGAGACTTGGCAGCCAGCTTGGCCAGCACCTTCTCGCGCGATTTCTGGGCACGCTCAGCACAGTCCTTGGGACGGGTCTTCAGCGTCATGTCGTCCACGGCCGCCTTGCGTTTGGCCGACTTGGAGAGGCATCGCTCAGTGCAGCCGATGGCCACAAATCGTCCGATGAAGCAGCCGCACTGGGCGCAGTAATGATTGATGTCCGTTCGGCCAGTCCACTTTTTGCTGCAGGAAGAGAGCGTTCCAAAGATTAGAAAGATGAGAAGGCATCCCTCCATTTAACACCCACCAGAGATTGGTGAAGCCGAGGAAGCGCTGCAGACAGGTAACGATTTCCAGCTGAACGACGCTCCACTCGTAGCGCTGGCAGGCGGGACAGTGGATCCATGTGGACTCAGGTTTCAGGTGGCCCACCTGCTGCTTGGGCGCTATGCTAATGGCTATGACCTGCGGCTCTTCCATGTTACCCATCTTGTGCTTTCCAACGCTGACCGCCGACTGACTGCGCATTGGCAGGGAATGCGAACGGAATGGAAAAGAGAACCGCAGAGTGTAAGAGCGAGAGTTCAATCGCTCTCTTAACTGTACACATGTTGAGGCGTTGGTCTGGTAATTAAGTGGACGCGTGGAACACATTAAATAGATCTCAAATCTCAACTCTTTATTGCATTTGTATGTTACATGAAGTGTGTGTGTGTGGAAGTCTCCCTATAGCTGGGGCCTGCGGTACACGCCCAAGTACTCGCCACAGGCGCCGCAATGATGCCGCTTCGTGCAGCAGCGCAGCCAGGAGCGGACCACACGCGTCTTGGCCTTGGTGCTGCAGTGGGGGCAAGTGATCTCGTTGGGGCCAGGTCCGACGGCAAAGTAAACGGGCAACAGATCCTGTGACATGGTGAATGAACGATAGGATGAGGTCTGGACGGTCCCAAAAGCAAACGAAGACTGAATCCAGCGAAGAGAAATTATGGCCAGCGATGCCACAAACAGCAAAGAGAGAGCCAGAAGAGAGATAAAGAGAGAGAGCGTCAGAGAGATATTGCGAGTGATTTGATTTTATTTCTGTTTTGATGTGGGGATCGTGGGTGGTGGCTCTTTTTGTTTTTGGTTGCTAGAAGAAATGCGAAATAGCTGAAATATTTGTGGGCTATTTGGTGGCCTTCAGCTTGAGTGGCGCCCGCCGCTTCATGCTGCGGCCAAAGTAGCAGCCACAGTTGCCGCAGTAATGACTCCGATCCGTCTGCTTGCAGGGCGCATAGTAGTTGAAGCAGCAGCAACAGCAGCAGGTCCTGCAATAAGGATTCAAGATTTACTCGCAGCGATAGCTGGGCTGTTTGAAACCTACACGAAGAGACAGCCGAATATGCGATTGAGCTCACTGGCCCACCACTTGAGATCGTTCTGCACCACACTCTGATCCTGGACACCGCAGGCGGGACACTTAATGGCCACCGACTCGTGGGGCAGGTTGAGAAAGGTGCCCGCCAGTGGTGTGGCGAAGTTATCATAGATCTTGCGCTCCTTCCGATCCTCCAGTGCCTTAACTGCCGCCGCCTGGGCCACCTTCGCCGGTTCCGTCTCTGTCAGTGGCGTCGACATCGTTGGCACGTACTCGCAGTCGAAACTGAAACCGATTCGTGGCCCCAGCGATCGGACAACCTGTTCGGGTTGTCCAACAAATAAGAGAGAGACGAGCGCGAAGAGAGCAAGCGAATGGGGGCAAAGAGAGAGAGAGAGAGAGAGAGAGAGAGCGAGCCGCTAGATGATTTATTTGAACATTTCTTTAATTGAGTTAGATGCGTAATAGAATTAGATGTGAAAATATTTGGCATTAATTCCATTTTAATTGGTCCAACGACTACTTGGCCTTGCGCTGGATCCCCACCTTGCCGCCGCAGTGGCTGCAGTAGACGCCTTTGGTGGTCCACTCCCGGTTGCAGCCGCACCAGGTGCACACGCAGCAGATCCAGAAAAGCGGGAAGATGCTGCAACACAAAAGGGGGGAATGGCATATGGGTAATGTATCTAGGGGGGACCCCTCATCCTCACCAGGAGAGCAGGCTGAGGCAGCAACTGGCATCTTTGCAACTGGCCGCACGCATCACGGCCGCCTCGCTCCTCTCGCGGCACAGCGGACACAGCAGCTTGTAGGTCGAGGGGCCGACGGCATAGTACCGCAAGCGAGGCTGCTGGACTGCAGGCGGAGCAGTTGCCTCCAGCTGGGAGAGCACTGTGACCTTCTCGCAGCTCTGATCATCAATGTACGGCACCAGGGATGCCTGATGACCCTCCACTACCACGTGGGCAATGACATTACCGGCCCGCTCCTCACCCGTGCCCGCAGGCAGCAGCCTGACTTTTAATCTCTCCACTGGCTGGTGTTGCTGTTCCATTGTAACTGTTTGGGCCAGAGGCCGACTATCGATTGCTGACCTCCGCCTGAGCAGAGCAACCACATCCAGCAGAGTGGGCAGCCGCATTTGGCGTAAGAGAGCAGCTTAAGAGCGGCGGTAAAGAGAGCGAGAGCGAGCAACGTAGTTCATAGATGTATGTGCACATGTGTGCTCCCTGATGCTATGATGTCATCGGCAGTCGTGCAGAACCAGATCAGAATAGGCGCATTCTTTTGTTTATCCAATAAGTGGAGCAATTTGTCGGAAAACATATTGCATATTTTATCAGCAGACATTTTTCTACGCACTGGAAACAAAGGGCATAGAAAATCAATTTATTTGTTCGTTTACTTTGAGTGGGTGGAAGACTTTTGCAAGTCAGTGTTTATTGCTAACTGAGCGTCCGTTTTCGAGAGCGATTTCGTTTAACTGTTGTTTTGTTTCGATTTGTTTTTGTCGCTCCGCTTGCTGGGGTTGCTCTGCTCTGGAACTGGAACAGCAGATTAAGGAGAGAGTACAGGTCAGGCTGTTACCTGCGCGCACGGCTGAGCATCACACGTACACATGCTGCAGTGCAGCCGAAGCTTCCAGTTCCGCGCGGCGCTCTTCCAGCAATATTCCAACAATGCGAAACTTCTGTTGCCTTTTATCGCTCGTTCGCCAAAGCTTTCTAAGGCGTGGCCAGCACAGTAAATAGAACCTGCAGTAGAGAGGTGCTCCCCGTACACCACGGATTTGGATTTCGCAACGAATATCGTAACTGAAAGAGCTTAGGATGTGGGCTGTTGTGTTGGCACTGTTGAGCCTGGTAGTGGGCCTGCTGTACCAGTGTGTGCGACGGCACTACAGCAGCTGGCAGAGGTTGGGCGTGGATGAGGAGCCAGCCAAGATCCCAATGGGCATACTGGACACCGTGATGAAGCAGGAGAGGAGTCTGGGCATGGCCCTCAGCGACATATACAAGCGGCACACGGGCAAGCTCGTCGGCATCTATTTGATAAACAAGCGGAGTATTTTGGTGAGAGATGCGGTGCTTGCGCGCCAGATTATGACCAGCGACTTTGCCAGCTTCCACGATCGCGGCGTCTATGTCGACGAGAAGAACGATCCGCTGTCCGCTAACCTCTTCAATCTGAGGGGAGCCTCGTGGCGTAACCTGCGCAACAAGCTGACGCCATCGTTCTCGTCCGGCAAGATCAAGGGAATGTTCGCCACCATCGACGATGTGGGGGACAAGTTGGTGCAGCATTTGAAGGGTGTGCTGGAGGAGGCGGGGCCCAACAGCGAAGTCGAGATGAAGGAGCTGATGACCACCTATGCGGTGGACATCATTGGATCGGTGATCTTTGGCCTGGAGATCGACAGCTTCAGCAATCCCAACAACGAGTTTCGAGCCATCAGCAGCGAGGAGGCTTCGAGCAAATCTCTTCTGCTCAAGATCCATAACATGGCCATGTTCATTTGTCCACCGTAAGTGCCATTCTGCCATCTTTGCAAATATTTCTACACAATTCCCGACTCACCCACAGGATTGCCAAGCTAATGAACCGCCTGGGATATGAGAGCTCCATCCTCACCGCTCTCCGGGACATGATGACGCGCACCATCGAGTTCCGGGAGCGCAACAATGTGGTACGCAAGGATTTGCTGCAGCTGCTCATCCGGCTGCGCAACACTGGCAAGATCGGCGAGGATGACGACGAGGTGTGGGATATTGAGACGGCTCAGGAGGAGCTCAAGGCCATGTCCATCGAGAAGATCGCGGCACAGGCCTTTCTCTTCTACGTCGCTGGATCAGAGTCGACTGCGGCCGCTGCTGCTTTCACTCTGTACGAGCTGGCCATGTACCCGGACCTGCTGAAGGAGGCACGCGACGAGCTGGACGCCGTCGTTCAGCGCCACAATCTCCGGCGCACAGACAAACTCACCTACGAGGCGGTGCAGGATCTCAAGTTCTTGGATCTCTGCCTGATGGGTGAGTATTTCGACTCTCACTGATCGCCGATTACATTGTATCTCCCTGGCAGAGACCCTTCGCAAGTATCCTGGCCTGCCCTTCCTCAATCGAGAGTGCACCGAAGACTATGCCGTGCCGGGCACCAGTCACACCATCACCCAGGGCACACCCATTCTCATCTCGCTATTTGGCATTCATCGGGACCCTGTTTATTTTCCCAATCCGGAAGGCTACGATCCGCATCGCTTCGATGCGTCTAACATGAACTATAACCAGGCGGCCTACATGCCCTTTGGAGAGGGTCCCAGGCACTGCATTGGTGAGGATTCACTCAGGATTACACTTGTTCTTGGGGATTACATACATATATCTGATTCGATGCTCTTTTTACAGCTCTACGAATGGGTAAGGTCAACTCCAAGGTGGCAGTGGCCAAGATTCTGGCCAATTTTGATCTGGTTCAAGCACCGCGCAAGGAGGTGGAATTCCGTTTCGACGCTGCTCCCGTTATGGTGCCCAAGGAGGGGCTAAAATTAAGATTGACCATACGAAAGTAGCAAGTGGAGTGAATGTGTAAATAACGCAGCTAACCCCAACGTTACGTAATGAATTACGCGTCACTTACTTTCATATTTCTCTTAAATAAACAAAGTGAATTATCAACTGTCCACAAACAAACATAAGCTTCAGCTGTGAGCTTTTTTCTCTCGTTATCTCTCTCTCTCTCTCTCGCTGTAGCTATTTAGCTTAAGGTGGTTTTAGACGATGCAACGGTTTTACACAGAATTTTGCATGCAGCTTGGATCAGACTGAGGGCAGAACGAGAGAGCCATAGCTGTAAAGCTCCAAGCCCAAGACAACGCGCAAATATCTAAATCGATTTAACATTCTTTGCTGCATTGTGATTGTGTGTGTGAAAAGAGATTGCGAGCATCACACGTACACAAGAACCGTTAGGCCTGGATTGGAAGAGAATCGCTGCAGTTATGCTTCGATACTGGAGAACAACTGTGGAGCAAATCGGAGCACAGACATCTTTTCTATGTTAATTAATTGTATTATAATTATTTTATTATTATTTTTTCTCTCATTTGTTCGCTTGACGGTCAAGGGCCTGACGCTGCTTTCCCAGCTTCTTTGCGTCCAGTTGCTCCTTCTCCACCTTGCGGAAGCGCTGCCAACGCCCATTGTCCTCCACTTCGCCCCTCTGCAGCCTGAAGAGAGTGCGCTTGTACCAGCTCAAGGAAATGTGTCGCCCAATGAAGCATCCACAGGCGCCGCAATAGTGATTGACATCGTGACGTCCCTCCCAGCGAATGGGATTGCTAAACGGAGAACAAAATCGTAGACATGAGAGGCAGGGCAAGTGGCATTGCGGCTGGGCTTCCTACCAGCACAGCAGAACGTTCACGGTGCAGGCGATTCTCTGCAGGCAGGTGACGGCCTCGCGCTCCACGCGCGTCGTCTGCCACTGGCGGCAGGCGGGGCACTGCAGCTGCTGCGGTTCCGTGGTCAGGTGACCCACCTGTGGCACGGCCGAGACGACGCCGTCCTCGTTCTCGTAGTCACAGACACTGCCGTCCAGGCTCTCGGTGCTGGCCATTTCACGCACAGATCTCTACTGACAGCAGCAGTCGGAGCGGCAGCGGCAGTGAATCTCAATCAAAATCTGCGTGGGTGTGGGAGAGCAGGCGCTGATTTTTTGGAAGAGGGAGCCAAGTGATGGGCGAATAAAAACAGTCGTTATTTGCTAGCAACAAAAAATGAGACAGCAGCTGGCCGATGGCTTTTATTTATAGATCACTTCGATAATTCTAGACTCTAGAGGAACGTTGATCGGTTAAGTGGGACGCCAGTGGAAGCCCAAGTGTCCGCCGCATCTGCTGCAGAAGACCCGTTTGGTCTTGAGGCGACTCTGCAGGCACGAGTACACAAAGGTCAGGGCGAAGATCGGGAAGCAGCTGCAAGTGGATTGCAAGTTGAGAGAGAGAGAACTGCGAGAGAGAGAGGGAGAGAGAGACTCACCAAGACAGGGCGGAGAGCAGGCAGCTGAGCTGACCCAGTGCGCCAGTCATCTCCACCGTCTCCGTCTTGGAATCCTGCTGGCAGAGCGGACAGCGCACCTGATAGCTGCTGGGGCCGATGCTGAAGAACCGCACCTGCGGCTTGCCAGTACTTCCCTCCAGCGTGGCCGTGGTGGCCGCCGAATTGTTGTCCGCCTCCAGATCCACCTCTTCCAATTCCTTACTCGGCTCGCTCGGCATTGCGACTGGCCAAGACAGTGGACCAAACACTTTCGGCAACGATTGAGTGCGCGACGAGCCAGCAAAAGAGATCACAGAAGAGCGAGGTGATTGCGCCAAAGAGAGTAGAGAAGAGCGGAAGAGCGGAAGATCGGGCAGAAGAGAGTAACAACATTTGTTTGTACATTTGGGAATGTATCATCTTCATCTCTCGCTTCGAGGTCAACAAAACTAATTAAAAATAAAAATAAAAACTAAATAAAACAAACGAAAAAACACAGAGATCAGCGCCATCGATCAGACATCATTGTCATTGCCGCTTCCAGGCACCCAAGAGATAGCCGCACTTGCCACAGATGACCTTGCAGTCGTCGTTGGAGCGTCGCATGCAGCACGGATAGATGGGCAGGAGGCCAAAGCAGCTGCAACAAGAGGGAGGGGATAGACCATCAATTGATTGAAGGGAGGATCCCACCTACTCACCATATGGTCAGCAGTCGCTCGAGGCGCACGCCCTGCTCGTGCAACCGCTCGTGGCACTTCGGACAGTACATCTGCCGCAGACAGCTAATGTTGGTGGCCGCCGGCGGTGGCGGTGATACCTTCTCGGCCAGCTGGCCCGTGGAGTTGGACTTCTTGCAGAAGTAAATATCCGTGCCGGGATCAATGTCCGCATAGCCATAGGGATAGCCACGATGCGGAGGCGCGCTGGCCGCCAGGAGCAGCTGGTCCAGTGCCTGGGCCGACTGCTGCTTGGCCTGGCCGCAGCTGGCATTCAGATTGATCTCGACCATATCCGAGTGGTACTCCTCCTCCCACTGCGACGGATGGTCCTCGGCCTGCACATTGAACTTCAGTTGCCGACTCATGTTGCTGAACTGACGATCAAATATTCACTATTTGCCTATAAATTGGGTTATTTTCTAACTATTTCCATACAAAACATTCAAGACATAAAAAACATTGTTTGTTGAGCGGGGGGAAGGGTGGATCTCTATTGGCCAAAAAAACCAGTTGTTCATCTGTTTTGTGTCAGGCCTCCGACGCCGCCGGCACTGTTTGTCTAACACTATTTTCATGGCTGAAAAGTTAACGGTTAACGGCTCTCTGCACTTGAATTCAAAGTCAAAGCAACTGAAAGCTCCACGAAAGCTCCCGCGCATCGTTTTGAGTGGGTGGCAAGCACAGCTAAGCCAATTAGGGTGGTCTCAAATATTCCGAAAAAATAATAATAGTACAGGAGAAGCTGCAGCAAATAATATTTTCGCTCTGCCTAACCAGTTGAGAATTATTTCCACAATGGTTCCACACTGCCAATTATTTGTTGTACATGGTAGTAATTATTAGTATTTAGTTTCCTCGCTTTTGCATCTATCGTCAATCTCATTCCACACATTGCATTATAGATCTGGTGGCTTGCGCTCCCCCCCAATGCTGCGTCAATCTGTCAATAATTATTCATCGAGGTACACACACACATACACATGTAAGTGTGGAGTACACACTGTAGCAGTATGGGTGCAGGGGCTACGAGTTGAATGAATCATCATCTTCGCCGTAATACAATCGCACTTTTGCTCTCTAAATCAACTACACAATAAAAGGCAATACAGCTACAGATTGGGATACCTTTTATGAATGCGACTGAAAATCCCCTCGCTCTGATAAGATAATGATAGTGGTGCTTGGGGGCAAGGTTTTCTAGGCCCCCGCACACAGGCGGCTCCTCAGTGCAACGCCAACCAGCAGGCCGGACGGTACACAGAAGAGAACTTCAACGAAAACAAAACGAAAACAGAAAACAGAAACCATGGACAGCAAGCAGCCTCCACCGTACAGCGAGCAGAGCGGATTCACACCGGCGCAGACATACCAGCCAGGTGGACCCACACAGCCGCCACTGTACCCACCCATGCCACAGCCACCGCAGCAGTCCACGGTGATAATACAGACAACGACGACCTCGAATCTGGTGCCAATCGGCAGTGGGCCCACACGCATACGCTGCCCCTCCTGCCACGCCGAGGTGCTGACCACCGTGAAGAGCACCCCCTCGGGACGCACCCACTGCTGGGCGATGATCCTGTGCCTGTTCATGTGAGTAATGCGACGAGATCGACCCTGAAAAGAGTGTACAAGTGGAACGGATCAGCCATATCTTGTATACGTGTTTTTATTTGCTGTTCCCGAACAGTAGGTAAATACAGTTATACATAAAGGCACTCTCTTATCGGAATATGTGTGTGCACGAAAAGAGAGTCTGTCGAAAGCTTTTTGTGTTATCTCAAGTGGAAATGGAGTTGAGTCAGATAACATATTGACTAACAACCGCAGAAATAGCCAGACACGTTCCTTTCATCGATTGGAATCCACTCTGTACTACAGTGGAAGATACAATTGTACCTGCCTGTCATAACTGTGAATCACTCCGCCCAAAAACAATGCCCGTTACTTTACTCACACTCTCTCCATCTCTCCATCTCTTTCTCGCAAACAGCTGCTGGCCCTGCGTGTGCCTGCCCTACTGCATGGACTCCTGTCAGAATGCCAACCACTATTGCCCCAACTGCAGCGCGTACATTGGCACCTTTGAGAACTAATGTTAATTTCCATATACTATCCATTAGCGTCATACTCTGTGCCAGCGCCAACTTAATCAACTGTAAATATTACTCTGTATTAGCATCACAGCAACACACATTAAACACAAGAAAGATTCCAGCAGGAGCAGGAAATGCGACAAACTTTTCTACTTACTTAGTTTAACTCTTCTATGTACTCCGAGTATATCCATTAATTTTTTTGTTGATCATCTTTCTGAATGTCTGTCGCTCGCTTAGCCCAATCAATATGCTTGTCCCGATTGCGGCGATTAGTCAGAAGAGATAACAAGCCCTGATAGTAGCTACTCTAATAAATGGGTGCCCGGAACCGTGTTCAATGTATGTCATACCATGAACATGAACAGCACCCCGCCACGGCCTTTGAGCCTGCCGGCTCCCTGCCACGCGGCACAGTGGTGGCCACTCAGCAACCAATTGATGACTCTCTGAAAGTTGGCTGGCAGCCGATGCAAGTTCGCTGCCCCTCCTGCCACGGTGAGGTGCAGACCAACCTCATTACCGCCTCCACAAAGACCACCCATCTGTGCGTGCTATATATATACATACATATACATACAGTATACATTTGCTGGTGAGTGGAAGAGTACAGAGTACACTGGAGTCTCGCAATAACAGTGCAACTTTTGTTTTAGCCTCTGGCCTTGCGCCGTCTTGCCCTACTGCTTCAACTACTGCAAGAATGTCCGGCATTACTGCCCCAATTGTGGAAACTACGTAGGAACCTATTCGATCTGATATGATTCAAAATAAACAGTCAGTGAAAGCTTTCGCTGTTGAAAGCTCTGCCAAAACGAAGAAGCAAGCGATAGATATCACAGCAGACACATCTCTACCGATAGGCCTATCGATAAGCCCAGTCGATCGTCGGCATAATTTCGCACTTTGCGCATTCCTCCTCGTTCAACGATTGTTTTTCAGTCGCTTTTGGACTCTATTCGCGTTGTGTTTTGCATTTGCATGCAGTAGAAGAGGAAGACAATACACTCCGTTATCGTTAAGACTTTGCGGCAATTACAGTTCCGCGAGCTTTTACAGTTCTTTCGAGTATCCAGCGCAGTTGTTCGAGCACACAAATGGCAGATTACAGCAAGCTGGGATCGCCACCAGCGTACATGGACGAGGCAACGGCTCCACCGCATACCGAAATGAATCAGTATGCACCACAGCCAATGCCGCCGCTGCAGATGCTACAGCCACAGGTGGCACCGCCTTCGCAGGTGGTGCACCACACCACCACTGTTGTAGTTGAGGCCCCGGGTCAGGGCATGGTGTGCCCCAAGTGCAATGCCCGTATCCGTGTGCGCACCGACTTCCATCCCACGGGCAAAACCTATTGCCTGGCAGGGCTGCTCTGCCTCTTTTTGTAAGTACACACACACACACAAACACCAAGAGCGGTGATGAGTAATAGCCGATCGTGCTGAATAAACACAAATTGTGCCTTTTGTTTCCCGTTAGCTGCTGGCCCTGCGTCTGCGTTCCCTGTTGCTGCAACTGCTGCTACAAGACCAGCCAATTCTGCCCCAACTGCAACGCCTGCCTGGGCTCATTCTAAGGAAATCCTCTGGACCAGTGGACACAATGCACACAATCGACTTGTGTGCAAACATAATCATAAACATACATAAGTATATTCGTATACATACTGACATTTGATCTGTCATACTCGACGCTAGATGGCATAAACGGAGTCATATTTCTGCATACAGTAAGCGAAAAAATAAATAAACAAAACAAATGCTTTGCTTTGCAAGCGAAACGGATTCCATTACGCGAAATCCCGAAACTAAATCGCCATTCGTTGTTGTTGTTGCTTTGACTCGGGCAACATTGTTGCTGCAACATAGCTGCTGCCATTGCGGGCAATTTTCCCAATTGCCAATTTCAAATCATTTCCATTTTGGCGGCTACCAGTTTCGGGTTATTTCTACTCCTAAAAGTCTACACTTGAGTGTTTGGATAAAGAAGATAGTGAGTATTGCAACATCTCCTCATAGATGCCGTGTGCAAAATCTCTGCCGGAATTCAGTTCAATTGGACCAAAGATGAGGTGTTGCCTTTGGCTCTAACAAGTGTAACTGAACCAAGGGGGCCAGACCAAAGTGTGGCCAGACACACCCTAAGCTCAGCCTAATGATGATAATAACGATGGTTGTTTCTTGTTGCTGTTGATTTTGGGAGGGAAAGGCAAACAAAATTGCCAACGTTACCAGCGCCTAGTCTTGTCCGGCAGATGAATAGAATGACGGCATCCAATGGGTAGCAGAGCAGACGAAAGGGTCTCCAGTATCTGCATGACATCACAGGAAGTCACGACTGGCGCTCAAAAATGGCTTTAGAGTTGAACAAAATTAACGCAGAGATAAGGTCGCTCGCCCATGTGTCGCTGCTATGCAATTATAATTTCCATTGGGGGTGCTCTGGGTGGTCTCTGGGGGGGGGGAGTTCGGCAACTAATTCATGTTTCATGTGCAACTTCAGTGGCACGCGAGCGAGTAGTTGTCGTCCCCACGGGACTCAAGGTCGTCGCTGCTGCAGCGAAATCAATAATCAGTTGGCTCTGTCTGTCTGTCAGTCCACAGCCAGCAACATGTCCTCACCCGTCGGCCCGGAGCCCAGCAGCCTGATCTGCCCCAGCTGCCAGCAGAACGTGACCACACGCACCGAGCCAAAGGCCTCGACCAAGACGCATCTGATAGCGCTGATCATGTGTCTGACCTGGTAAGTGCCGGCGAACGGCGTACAATCCATTGAACCTAAAGCTAAACCCAAGCATCATCATCCTTCTCTTAGTCTCTTTCCCTGCGCCTGCTGCCTGTACTGCACTGAGTGTGCTCGCAACACGGCACACTACTGCCCCTCCTGCAACGCCTACATTGGATCCTACGAACGTTGAGCACTCCGCCGCTCCTCTTGCTACAGCTTTAAAGTATGTTTCCGCAACATTTGTTGCGTGATGTCTATCTAAATATTTCAGTGCAAGTTTGAGCATATTTTTGGCACACAGCACTGCAATCACCAATAAATATTATCAGCTTGAATAGAGATTTAAAGCTCGTGGGTGAATTCTTGCCTACGCCCATGTCCTCTTCCTGCTCTCCCTCTCTCTCGCTCCCTGTGTGCATGTGGGAAACAATTAATTTGGTTGGAGTGCCTCCCAATGGTTGGAAATTAGTGGCTAATGGCGGGTTCTTCGTCATGGTCAGCAGGGGCACGGGGTGGGGGGGACACGTGTCTGTCGGTTATAAAGCGAGGCTGGCCAAGCTCCTGCTGGAATACTCAGCCATGGACGTGGATCTCAAGCCTACAGCCTGCCCCTATTTGGTGCCGCCGAAGCCTGTACTCCCAGTGCATTCGGGAGGAACGCTGCCAAATTCTGTTCTTGTGATCAATGGTGAGTGCATGTTGCTGGGACTCTGTGGCGGTGTTGCAATTAATCCGATTGCAGCTGAGGCACAGCGGGGGCTGGGACCTGTTGCCCAAATCCTGTGCTGTCCGCATTGCCGTTGCTCGATGGAGTCCCGTTTGGAGGCGCGCGTGACCAAGCACACGCATGCCTTTGCCTTTGCTCTCTGTCTGACGGGGTGAGTGTTGGGCAACGGCAAACGGAAGGCACCGTTATCCTTCTGCCTCTGCCTCTCTGTGCTTTCAGCTTGCTCTGCCTGGTGCCGCTGCCGTACTGCCTGAAGAGCTGCCAGAGCGTGGACCATTACTGCAGTCGGTGCAATCGGTTTCTGGGAAAGGCTTCCAGCTAATCTTTGGCTCATTAAAACAAAGCAAAACAGCACCCTCACACTTCCTCATGCACATGCAAATTCCCTATGCCACACACACAAGCACAACTTTCCTCTTGTGAAATCCGATTTGACGCGGCCCTCCGTGGGACTGCAACGACGGCGATTGAGGAAATCAGTTTCGTGACTGACATCGAACGCTTCACACATCAAACGGAAACAGTAGCCACACAGAGCAGCAGCAGAATCATGGACGATAAGCCCTCCACAGCTCCACCGGAATACGACCAAACTTTTAGCCGTGCACTTCCCCCGCAGGTGGTTGTCCAGCAGCCGGCTCCTGTCATAATGCAGGGTGAGACTATTCCTTGAGGATTCCTCGAGAATGACTTCTAACTTCATTCCCGTTTGTTGTGCAGCGCCCAATGTGCTGGGCGATAGGCCGTCCATGGCCACATGCCCGAGCTGTGGTGCCCGCAGGAATACGGCCGTCACTTTTGAGCCCAACACCAAGACGCATCTGCTGGCGGTCGGCATTTGCCTGTTGGGGTAGGTAGCGCCTTGCTCAATCGAAGTAACATTTACCCACGGACTAATCGAGTCCCTCTCTTGGCAGGGGCATCTGCTGCTTCTGCATTCCGTACTGCAACGACTCCTGCCAGACGGCCAAGCACACTTGCACCAGGTGCGGTGCCTACGTGGGCTCCTACAATAACTAGCAGGGCCGCGAGAGGATATTCTTACACACATGCATATGTACATATGTACGTATGTGTTTTTGTATACAAATATATATATGTTTGCACCTAATTATGAATAAAACAATCACATTCCAATTGCAAGTCAAGCCTTATCAGCAGAGCGCCCGACACTTCTCGGTATCGCGGCTTTGGGGACTTGAATGGAAACTGAGATTAAAATGGAAAGACGCCGGACCGGAGGCTGGCTGCAGCCTCAGTAGCGACGCGATGTTTGCTCGGAAAAGACCTGCAGGCAAAATGCGCTCTCAAGAAGTCTACAAGAGTCTCACACAGCCGCCGGAAGCTCCGACGGGTTCGGGTCCACCGCCAGAGCCTGCACCGGAAGAGAGCTGCGCCGACGACAGCTGCCCGCACTGCGATGCAGCCCCAATGGTGGGCCAGGGCCACACGAGTCAAAGCTGGTGGCACAAACTGCGTTCTACACTAGCGTGAGTATTCGTATGCATTCATAGATTATTCACTGTATTCACTGTATGGCAGGGGTCCCCTCAGTTGCTTTCGATTTCGCTACAAATCGGTGTACAAGTGCCGGTCGTGCGGCTGGCGTAGCTCCTCATCCAGATCCCCCAAGAGATGCAGCTATGAATGCAAAACGACTACACGGATCGAAGCGTAAAACTGAAATTATACTACTGAAAGATGGCTATTAGTTTTGGGAGTTGCTATGATAAGTTTAAGTAGACATGGCTGTAGGGCCACCGAAAATGCTCACATTCAGGAGAGAGAGAGAAGCGCTGGCAAAGCTTTCCGCAACTGGTGTCTCCATTCTTGCGCAGAAATGTTGAGAGAACTGTTGCATTGGGACACAAGTTGACAGAACTGTTGCATCAGAAGTCATCAGCCACATGTTGCGTATCGCGGAATTATCGTGGATTGCAGCATACATTTATCCAATGAGTATATAAATATGCCAAAAAGAATAAATCAAATGTTTTAGTTGCTAATTTTCGTTCTGCCTCCAGTTCCTTCTTTGACTGAATATTTCCTATAGCTGCAACCAGATGGTGTGGGAATTGTGAAATGGGAGGATGCACTCGTCTGCACTTTGATTGGCATCTTTCTTTCTGTACTTTGGCACGCTTTTATAGTGATTTTGATCAAATTAAGAGTATTCAATTAAGAATAATTTGCAGAGTTAAAGAGTTCGTTTTTCCGACTCATATTTGACTGAGGAATTTCGACTCATATTTGATATGGAAATCCCCACAGACATTTCCCACAAAATAAATGCATGCACAGAGACATGTGTACATAAATATATGTAAATGCTTTACATATAGCTAATATATACCCAAAATCCCGGGATGAAAAGCTAACCTGTTAGTGGAGCTTATGGCAACATTGTTGCACATGTTGCACACGGACTGCATGTTGCACACATACATACAAAACTTTGGAGTTTATGGTCGGTGGTCCAGGGCTCAGTTCCCTGTGTGACGTCTGTTCTGCTGCTTGAGACTGCGGAGAAGTGCATCCATTCGTGCATTCAAAGGCCCATCTGCAGCCGCTGATAAGCGCACGAAAAGCTGCGTGGGATTTCGGGTGGATACCGGGCGCATCCAGGGCTAACCCCCACGCAGAGTTCTATATTTGGGCTGAGCCTTCACAGAGCTGCTATTGCATCAGGGTGCTCGAATGCCGTTCAAATTGCTGCCCCAGTACGGCCCGGCGTCACTTGTTGCGTTGTTCGTGGACTGGCGTGAGAATCTGAAGAAGGAGATACGAGCCAATGTGCTGGCCGCCAGGATGGGCAAGTACCGGATGATCCACCACAAGTATCATCGCATTCCCATCGAGTGCTGTCCGCGGTGCAAGTCGACGGCTGTGAGGTTGGAAATTCGCACCAGTCGCTCGCAGTGGAAGAAACTGAAGAAGAATTTGGTGTAAGCAAACGGCATATACATATAATTATGCTCTATGTGCTACATATGTACATTATATACTTAACTTGCAGTGAATTATGCTTCTGTCGACCATACATTCCAGCGGGCATGTACAAGCAGGGACACATTTGCCGATCCTGTGGCTGGATGGATGTCATAAAGATATGTTAAAGGAATAGAAGAAAAAAACACACATATTATATACCTATCTATATACCCATTATGTACTCACAAACAAATATTGAATTACGATCAAATATTATTCCGAGTTCTTCAAACTTATTTCCATCCACTTGTTGTTTCTGCCTTATAAAGGGGGGGGGGGGCGAGGTGCTACAGCTACAGGCCAAGAAAGCTAACGGCCAAGTAAGCTTTTGTGCCAAAAGCTCTACGTAAAGTTGTGGCCCGAAAGCGCGAGCGACTTGAAGTCAGTTCTCTGTCGACCATCAAGCGGAAATGCAGTACAACCAGCCGCAGCCTGGAACCGTTGGCTACCCGTACCCGCCGCAACCTGGAGCAGGTGGCTATCCGTACCCGCCGCAGCCACAGCCACAGCCACCGAGCTACGAGCAGGCCGTACATGTCACGGGACCAGTGCCCGTCCGAGTGCAGCTCCAGGGTGCACAGCCACCGCCCGTGGTGATCATTCAACGTAAGTGTCCGCAGCAGCAGCTGTTTCCCTGTACAAGCCGGACTCAGACTCCGCCGATTGCTTTCAGATCAAGCTGCTCTGCCGGTGGGTCCCGATGCCAGCTTCATCACCTGTCCCCACTGCCATGTCCAGAAGCTGACCCGTGTCGAATATGCGCCCAGTGTGCGCACCCACTGCATGGCCGCCCTGCTCTGCCTCATTGGGTAAGATCTGCGATCTCCTCTCGGTGTTATCTAATCTCTAAGTGTGGTCCACGTAAGCAGCCTCTGGTGTTTCGCCTGTCTGCCCTACTGCGCCACCAGTTGCATGAATGCGAATCACTTCTGCGGCAACTGCAACAAGTTTGTGGGCGTCTACAACAGCGACTAGCAGCAGCAGCAGCAACGATACACATTCCGAATAAACAAACCAAATCGAATCGAATCCAGAAACCAATCCAATCCGATCACATCATCCATCGCATAGCATTGTGTGCGAACATTTTTGACTGGGTGTCGACAGACGAACACAATTTCTTTCCCCCCCCCACACACACACACACCCACTGCTAGTGTAAACAATCGGGCCAGAAAGCTTTTCCACCACTGAAACGGCTTTAATTGATAAGAACTCTGCGATATGCTAGCCAACAATTTTTTCGGTGCGTTCCATTGCCATTGACGCGCACCGACGAGTCATTTGTCCCATTAACGCCCAGGAAAATCGATACTATGGAACCCGTTTATCCAGCCGCACCACTGGAGATGCAGAAGGGCACGGCAGGAGATGCGCTGGCCGAGCATCAGCAGCTGCTGACAACACCACGATCACCGCCGAGCTACGATCAGGCCACAGCCTCGCCAGCGCTCACCACGGGCCCAGCAGCGACTCCAGCTCCAGCTCCAGGTGCAGCTCCAGCTACAGTGCGGCATACAGTGGTGGTGGTTCCTGGCTCCATCTACGGACCGGAGCCCATGGACATACAGTGTCCGTACTGCCACAATTATGCGCGCACCCGCGTCTCCTATCGGCCCAACTCACGCACACATCTAATAGCCCTGGTGCTGTGTTTGTTCCAGTGAGTAATGCCAGGGGAGTGTCTGTTCTTCTTTAGCTTCTTTAATCCAATCTGCCTCCCTTTACAGACTGTACTGCTGTGTGTGCCTGCCTTACTGCATTGCCAGTTGCATGAACACCACTCACAACTGTGGCATGTGCGACCACTACCTGGGCACCTACCAGCGTAAATGAGATCCGGATTTGGGCTTCTTTTATCTGTTTCCATCTGCACCTAGATAATAAACTGTTGTTGGTCTTTGACCTGTACGTTTACTGTACGATTTACTTGAGATAGGTTGGGCACACATCCACTCCCCCACTCCCCCGACTCACCGTTGGATAGAGCTTTTGGCCAAACACAAAACTCGACTCGTACAATTACAGAGATATTTGTGTTGCCGAAAAGGTTGCCCAATCTCTCGCTCTGCTCTGCTCTGCTCTGCTCCGCTCTACCTGCGAAAGCTTTTAAGCTCACTCTGTGGAGCAGAGCGAACGATCTAAGCCAAAACTTGAATCTGTAGGCAGAAGCCAGTAGCCAGCTGAGAGCGAAACGGAACGGAGGAGACGAACAGAGCGAATTTGCACAGTAAACAAAAACCCCAACAAGGGATTACAAATACACACACACATACACATACATATACATGTACATATACACACGTAGTGGTAGAGGAAGAACTTGAATCTGTTTTAGTTGCAAACAAAAATCGAAAGCTGAACTTCGCACTTCGACGACAACGGCAATGGATCAGAAGCGGGCCATGCTCTATCCGCAAGTGGATTTCAACACGCCCAGCGCACCATCGCCGACGTCAGCGAGGCCAACAAGGGAATCGTTTGGGCCGGAGCATGTGCCCGTGGAGGCTCCGCCATCATACGATGTGGCAATAGGCAGACCAACCAGCGCAGTGACTGTTCCAGCAATTGCAGTAATCACGCCACAACAGCCCCAGCCGCCGCAAGTGGTCTACGAGTATGAGCAACCAGCAGCCACAGTTGTCCAAACGGGTAAGTAATTGCTTGGCTTGGGTCTAACTATCTCTGACGTCATTGCTGTTTAATTGCAGAAACACTGAACTTGGGTCCAAATCCCTGCCGCGTACTCTGCCCGGCCTGTGGTGCACAGAAGACAACACGCATGACGCACACCGCCAATTCTCGCACGCATTTGGGTGCGGGACTGCTGTGTCTGGTGGGGTGAGTACCACAAACAAATCTCGTGAACTCCCGACAGTGTGCTGAACATTCCTCTCTTCAATTAGTTGGTGCTGTTTTGCCTGCTTCGTGCCCTACTGCATGAACAGTTGCCGCACTGGGAACCACTACTGTCGCAAGTGCAACACGTTCCTCGGCGCATACAGTCCCAGTGGTGGACTGAAGTGAAGATAAGACTATGACGAGATGTGATCTGGTGGTACCTAACACAAACAGGAGCTGCTATCTCAGCTGTTTGCCTAGAACATACATATTTGCATATGAATATATTATTAACCTTAAACAAAAGCCAACGCCACCGCCGCTTACCTTCTTGCTGCTCTCGATGGGTCCATGGAGCACAGTGTTGGCGAAGGTCGACGTGCATCGTCACCATGATGCTGCCTAGCCTCCAATAATGTATAATACTCGTATACTCTTTATGCAAAACAATAATAAAGCAAGGAATTTGGACTTGAGCTTGAAATGTTATGACCCTTAATGATCGAGGCAGAGTGGAGGGGACTCTGCCATTGACAACTGTTTCCATTTATATTTTTTACTCGCCGACATTTACGCTATTTGCAACGGTTTCAAATGTTTCCCAGCGTGACCGCGGCGTTATCGACAAAATATACCACACCACGTGAGTGCTGCCAGATGAGGCCATCCTTTGCTCACAATTATTCCTCAGTCGATACATCGATATAGTGAGTGATATTTTGAAGAATTTTGATAAATCAGATAAAATTATGGTGCAACAGAGAATCCTAACTAGATGATAAAATAACCCAGAATATGAATCTCATGGAAAATTGTTTATGATATACGCTATATTTTGAAATTAAAACGTATATTTTGGTATATTTCTGAGGGTCAGGCGGTATATTTGATCGATAAATCCGCGGGCACACTGTATTGCAGAAAGTTTTTTTCACAACAATAAACCTCCGATTAAGATCCAATTAAGCAACTAATGTGTGTTGGTAGACATTAAGCAACGCTTCTAAGCCAGTTGTGCGTGTGTGCCAGTAGGCTGCACCCCAAAATTGCCAGCATTTGCGCTGCGTTTTGGCAGCCACAACATCAGCAGCAGCAGCAGCAGAAGCACGGGCAGAGGTAGAGGCAAAAGCAAAAGCAAAATCGGCAGCAACAACAACAACGGTGGAAAAGGAAAATTCAGCCCAGCTGCATTTCGCTCACTTCCCCCACCACAGGGCAGTTTTCACTATTATGGACAAGAAATCATCGCCCGTGCGACGACAAAAGCGCCAAGCGAAAGTGATTGAAGACAACTTTTGGGACTGCAGCGTCTGCACGTACAGGAACTCGGCCGAGGCGTTCAAGTGCCGCATGTGTGACGTGAGGAAAGGTGAGTGACCTCGATTTCGTGTGCGACCACAGCGGCTGCTGCGTCACATTTCAATTACCCGTGAAGGACGGCAAAATAATCGTTCGCTGTGCGCGTAATTTGTTTTCTTTGCTGCATTGATAATGTTCTCCACTCTCTCTCCCCCCGCCCCCACACCACCTAGGTACCTCCACACGAAAGCCTCGCCTCAACTCGGCGCTAGTCGCGCAGCAGGCAGCCACACTGCCAGGAGCCAGCGGAAACATGCCCAACGGCAAATCCGCCTCCAGTTCACGGCACGGAAGTGGACACGACAGGCAAAGGCATAAACGATACCCGGCCCGCTTGAAGAACGTTGATCGCTCGACGGCGCAGACGCGCGAGGTGACCGTCAATTCGGTCACCGTCTTCATCACAGAGTACAAGGCGAAGCCGGTGAGCAGCCGGCGTGAGTCCAGCGAGCAGAGCTTCAGCGAGAGCAACGACAGCCGGAGTTAATTTTGGAGGCCAGGTCCCGAGCCCGTGCTACCTTTTGATATTGTGCGCCACGATTCCCCAGGCGATTCCCCAATCCCACGTCCCCTCGTCTAAGTGTACAAGTAACAAATTGTAAATTCTAACTGTTAGGCCCAGAAACAATTGTAAATCGAAATCGAACTATAAGTTATTGAGTATTAGGCAACGTTCGAAGACGCTCCCGCACCTGGCTTCGTCCAGCGAGCACAGAGCGGGACAAGAAGCACGCATTTATACGTCTCTCTCTCTCTGCAGCCGCTTCGAATGTGCGCTACCCTGTATATATTCTACCAACAGATGAGCCAACAGGAGGGTATCCTCTCCTGCCTGTCCCTTGTCTGCCTCGTATTGTATTGTAATTCTAAAACCTAATTTATTACCGCTGAATGCATGGTCTGTAATGTATATTTTTAAAAAATACGAATATCTATCGTTTATGCTATAAGTTTTCAATTAAAATATGATTTAACGAAAGCTAATCACACTGTTTAGAACGATACTGTAACGATGACAAATCCAAATCCAAATCCAAGCCCAAGTCCTCCCACAAAATGGTTTTTGTTAATGCCCAGCCACACGCGTAGATTGGCTGAATAGACAATTTGATAATTTTAATTCGTTTGTATACAAGACTGATTAATAGTTACCACAAAAGGCAAACACACACCACTTCCACAGGTGCCCGTTCTGTTCCGTTTCCAGCAGCAAGCCCGAGCAAACAATAGATAAATACTCCAACGAATAACAAGAACTTTTGTACTTGGCAGAGAGAGCACCAAAGCAGCTCTCCACCCTCCACCAATACCATAAACCGTAACCATAACCAATACCTACAATTAGTAAACGATAAACGATGAATTTTGATATGAACGATTATATTAAATATTGGATAATGGATATAATGGTTTATAATGTGCTTGATATTTGCATTTTGAGATAGATTATTTAGCCCACACACACAGCACACTCGAATATACTGCCGGACCCGTACTGAGAGCTGGAGGAGAGCTTAACTTCCAGTAAGATGAACTTTGCAGCATTAAACACTTATACAAAAAAGTTTATAACTAACTGATATGCTTACAAAATGGTCAAACAAGAAGCAAAGACACAAACACACACAAATCCAATCATAGATACACACACACCCACTTGCAACCGAACTTTCAAAGTTAGTTAAAAAACTTAAATTCAAGTTGTAAAGCATTCAATTTTAAAGCATTATAAAATACATTAAATAAATTTCAACAAAAAATGCTACTAGATAACCGTCGTTTTGCCTGGCTGGGGGAATTGTCTGGAAATTATCACATAATTTTATAGCTAGCACCTGGCTGGATGGATGGATTTGGGTTGGGTTTGCCCATGCCCAGTTTAAAGTTCTTTAAAGAGGCAGCACACGAGGGGTTGCTGGGGTTGTGGATGGATGCCAGTACATAGAATAGAATCCACCATCGTTCCACTCAAAGACACAGCAGGACCAGGGGACCGCCCACGCGTTACCTTTGTCTATGGCTATGTGTGGCAGCGTGGGGGAGAACATAAGGACGGGGTGGCGGTGGCACATCATCTGCGTATCTGCTTACGCGTGCTCTCAGCTTTAGTTTGGGTCTCAGTCGAGTTTCAGTTTCAGTTTCAGGCTGAAGCTGAAGCCACTGACTGTCTCTCCCCAACGAGGACGAGGGCTACGCCTTTGGCAGCTGCCTCAACTTTTCGCACAGCGCACATCGCACGCTTCGCAAATAAATTACAAATTGTTTCGTTCCAGCACAGCTACTACAGAGAGAGAGAGAGAGAGAGAGAGAGAGGGATTCCTACTCCTTCTCCGCCTCCTCTGCGTGCCACACAGCCCTCACACAATTCGTTTCAAACATTCTAGCCTGACGTTCGAAATGTTCCCGTTCGCATTTTCTCTAAAATGTTAAAATTCACGAGGCCCAGGCCCAGGCTCCCACTACAACATGCTGCCACCCAGTGTGGCCTCCCCCAGGCGGCACAGGACCTGCGTTATCAGCGCCGCACTCTGTGCGCTTATCTTCCTCCCTGTACGTTTCGTTTCATTCTTGGGTTCTGTTTCATTCGTTTGTTCGCTGCTCCTTGCTTGCGCCTCCTCTGTCGCTGGCCTCCTTCTTATCCGTTTGTTTGCCCGTGCTTCCGCCTCATCTGTGCGACCGTCCGCACATCCTGTTCCCTTTCTGCCATTTCCACGTCCTTGTGTGTAGTTCGGGAAATTTGGTTTTTCTCTAGCAGCTAACAAAAGTTGCAGCAATTGGAAAATGTTAAACTCCTTGCAGCCGGAACTCTGGGCCTGTTCCTGGACCCGGACTTCAATATAACGCATACGCGCTGTGGTCCGGCCCAGAGGTTCGTCTGCAGAACGGACTCCAAAAACTTCTGTATAGCTCCACAGTGCAAGGGGTGGGTGTGGGGTGTGTGTGCATGTGGGTAATCCCAGCAAGTAACTTGAGCACTTTATGGCACAACGCGCACGTGTGCCTGTGTCAGTATCAGAGGAGTGTTGGAGGAGGGTGCGGGTCCTGGTGCGGGTGCGGGTGTGTATCTGTGCTAGATAGCCGCGAAGGATACTTGAGAGAGGAAGAGAGGCAGAGAGAGAGTTTGGGCTGCGATAGCTCTAGGTTTAAACACTCTTTAGGCATTATCCATTTTAATTACATTAAAAAACTTTTTTGTTGGCATAAAATAAATTGGAGCCAAAGACGAAGACAAAGATTGGAGGGGTGGGGGGCTTGGGCCAAAGCAAAGCAAAACTTATGTCACTTTGATCCTTAAAAGTAACTTGAAGGCGACTCATGCGAGAGACAATGGGGAACTATGTAGCCACCCTACCTACCCCCAGCGAGGGCCAACCCAACCCCTGGTAGTCAGTCTCCCGCTCTCCCGCTCTCTCTCTCTCTCTCGGTAATCAAGTTTAGTCTTTAAAATTGAAATTCCAGCATTAGGCAAGGAATGCGACAAAGGGGTTGCTCGATGGCAAAAGGATTGTGCGGCAGAGGGGTAGAAGTGTCGCCGCTGCTTCGCTTATCTGCCTCGAATGTGCCACAGCACGCATGGAATATGTGCCGAAGAAATCGTTTGCACATTGCCAAATTCAATGTGCAAATAAATGATTCAAACTCAAGCGTAAGATTTGCAGCCAGAAATGAGTCAAGGAATGGATTAAATCAGAGCACATCAGTACTGCCTGCAATTTCTCGTTCCTTTCATTGATTAAAGTTTCACATTAAAGTTGCCCAAAGAACAGCAGAAAGATAAAAGAGAACGACAAAAATGTATGACAATCGCAGTGTCACCAGCCCAGAACCCAGAACCCAGAGCCCAGAACCCAGAGAACGCCCCACAACGCCTGCCAGCAGCGGGGCTGGGTCGTCAGAGCTTCATTGTGTTTATTTCTCATGTTAAAATCAAATTCCCGCGTGTGCAATTTTTCATTTGCCCCAGACCCGGATCCGGACCAGAACTTGGGCCCCGGGCAGCTGGCAGCAGGCAGCAGGCGCTGGAGCCGTAGTCGCAGCCCAGTGGAGAAATGAAAAGGAAGTGGAAAAATGTGTAAAGGTGCGTGTGGCAGGGTGGCAGGACTCAGCTCGAATGGGG